TCTTATTTAGTTTTTATTATAGTAAAAATAGTAAAAATAAACTACCGTTAAATTGTGTTTGATTGAATACAAATATGAGGAACGTTTAAATCTTTGAATAATCAATGCCAAAAGTTGCCATAGACCTCCAATTTGCAACTCGATTGGTGAACCAAAGTTGTGTTGTTATTCCGACGGTTTATGATGCGTCCAATAAAAGAACGACGGGGATGTCCGCCCAATGGCAGATGCCTATCGACAAGAAGCATATAGCTCTTTTGCTTGGTGCGTTTTCCCACACCGGAGACCTTATCACAAAAACGGCTTATTATGTTATTAACATTCCTCGTGTCAAGAATTTGGATGATGTTGATTACTTCGGAATGCACCACGGTAATGAGGTCGACAAATTTGCACAAACAAAGTTCACACTGACCCACGTCCCATGCAAAAATGAAGAGGAAAAGACCCCAAACACAAAGTTATGTATTGAAGAAGCTCTTGCTTGGGTCGAACTCAAATTGGAGTCAGTCACTTCAGTGGCCGACGAGTGTGATCTTGAGTCCAAGCTTATCATTGGAGAGATCACAAGAGCTTGGGCAGACAGTACTGACTTTGACGGGCAATTTTACAAATACGAGAATATGAAGAAAGAAGACAAACCGATCCACTGTATTAATGAGACAAAATATGCAACCATAGAACCAGTGGATACTGTTAATTAACTCACCAATATGTCAATTTTGATTCACAATTTAAGTTTAATTATATTATTATATAATTAATATTTGATTACTATAGTTTTAATTAGTTTTTACTTTCCAATAATAACCATTTAAGTTATTAAAAAAGAGTTATTTATATCTATATATCTATATATATATTTATATATAATAATATTATCTTATTATATTATAACAAAGTACTAAAAAGCTCACAAATTACAAAGAAGTCTTATTTCAATATAAGGCATATAAGGTCAATACATTCTTTGAATCACACGGTCCATCTCTCCAAGGCATAAAATGTCTTGATATTCAAAAACTGAATTGATGTATTGATTGATTCGAGACCCCCTCTCCCATATATCGTCTTTATCCAAAAAGAGTCTCCCATTCCAATATATCTTCTTAATGGTTTCCATTTTAAGAGTCCCTCTTTTACCTTTTGTCGTCTCCGTCTCAAAGAAGAACCCATCTTCTCGTAAAACGTCCATTAACAAATGAATGTTCTCCGTTAACTTATTGTACTCTGCACGACGTCCTGCTGTCTTAGAAGAAACTCCCATCTCTTTGTCAAATGTTAATCTGTTGATACATCTTGTTTGGACAAAGTCTTCAATAAATAAGGAAGTGTTATCCTTTTCTATTGATTCTATTCGAAGTAATTGTTGTGTCACTTTTGCTTTCTTCAATGGAGACTTGAGTACTATTTTGAATTTAATATTTAGAAGCGCAACCAAAATGCTTTGTGTTGCACTGGCGATGTTGCGCGAGTTCCGAAATGAAAACCGGCTGAGGTCTCGTTTTCGCAAATACGTCGACTCTTGGACAGTGGGTGTCTGACAGATCGTTTCGACATATTTAAAAGGCGAGTTACCAGAAACGATGAATGGGCTATTAGAAGTAATGTATGATTGCATTATGTAATCAGTTTTGGGATGCTCTTTTTATAGTGATAAAAGTATAATCATCATCTCCGAAGGATTATTTTCATGGTTCAAAGGGTTTTCTTTTTTTAATTCATTGTTTCCCCTTTCCTTACTTCAACAAGCCAATTTTGGGTGTCGGTGATTGTTGGGAAACTATAACTGTTTTTGTGAACAATCACTTTGATTAAGAAAACAAAACAATGGCCCACAACAGTTAATTGTTTCAGGAAATATGTCCTAATTAATTCATAATTTTAAATTATGATTTGGTAAGGAATGTTCTCTCTTTGTTTTGATCCGTTTGGTTGAAAATAATAAAACTTAACATAATCTTTTGAGTGTGGTATTACAAAATCTTTAATTCTCACTAAAATAGTGCATTTTTGAGACTAACTCTTTATTTTTTTGTTGTTCAATTTATTGTGTTAAATAAGACCGACTTTCAACATTTTCTCTGTCTATTCGTTAATAACACTTCATTGAATATGTTTTGTTCCAAAAACGGTGTACGGTAAATAAAATATGTTTTTGACTTAAATTGTGAAACAAGTAAAAAAATCAGTTTTTATGAATTAAGGCATTTTAGTAAGTAAGTTAACATTTAAATAGGTAACTATATGTCGAAATATAATCTACTATCAATATAATTAATACTAATAACAATTGTTTAATATGAAAAAGATGTTGAATGATTGTTTATAAAGTAATTCAACAATTAGTTAAAAACAAAATCCAATAATTGTTTTTATAATTTTTCTGTCTGTTTTTTTTTCAATGTCACTTTTTATTATTTTTAGTTTTTTATTGAAAATGTTTACCATTGTTTGACTTGCTTTTGCATAATTGGTCGAATATATCACAACAAAACGGCAAAAAGAAATGCTTTAGATTGTGATTTTGGCTGTTAAAACGGCTAAATATCAAAAAGAATAAGGGTTGTTGTTTTTTTGAATTAACAAATTATTGGATACTTTAATTAAACAAACATAATTCAACCAACTTATTATATCCAATCTCAAGTAATAAATTTGAATTTTTGAAAGGAATTGCTTCGGCAAGTGTAATTGTTATTTTGCTGGCCTAATTACTTTTAGCTAATATTTGAGACTTTTGCTGCAAAACTAAGTTATTTTCAATTAATTCCATTAGGGGTCTATTTAATTTACTTTAATAAAATAATTGCATGAAAAAGTTAAAGCGCTCTAAATTTTTAAATCAGTGTATCACCTTTAAAATACGACAACAAAATTGTTAAATCTTCCCATAAATTACAAAAGTGTTATTGTACTTGATAAAAAACTAACATAAAGTATCGAAGAATTGTTTTTTGGGACGGAAGAAATAAGAAGAGTCGCAAAATACATAATTTTAACTCCAATTTGTTACAACCAACAATAATAAAAGACAACAAATTTTTTTAAAAAATAATTCAACCTTTGTATTTATTTTTCTTAATTTTTACTATCTCTAATTTTGTATACCTTTCTCAATTTATAATATTTATGCTTTTTGAAACAAAAGAATGCATATAATCTTCCAGAATTACAGAAGAACATGTTTGAAATGTTTAATTTTGGTATTAGCTAAAATGGTAAACATTCGACATATTCAGCATTATTTAATAATTAAAATAAATTTATTGTATTATATTGAAGGTGATGTTTTTATCATTGTTATTTTGCTTGTTCATAATAAGAATATTTCGATTTAATAATACTTCAAAAAGAATGTAATAGGTTATAACTGTTCATTCATTTTTTCAAATATTATTTTTCAAATCTTCATTTTATTTTGTCAGCAATTATCATATTTTTGATGACCAATAAATGAATCAATTAAAGTAAAAGAAAATCGGTTCGCAAAATATGATTATTTCAAACTGTTTGTGTATATTGTTTATTTTTAAAAAGGTGGTTCAAGTTACCATATTTAACTTTTTCTTTTAGTATTTTTTATTGTAACTAATGTAAAAGTCCTTTTTGTAATATCAAAATACCACCTTGCTGTGATCAAAACACATGGATCTTCAATTGAAACCCATAACCGATTTTATAATGAAAATAAACAATGAAATTTATTGAACCATTTTCTTTTGATTTTTTCTTTGAAATTTCTTCTAAAAGATAATCATTTAAAAAACAGTTCAAATTAAATTAACTGTATTATAACAAACGATATGACTCTATAATGTCAAAGAAGAATATAATTAAACAATTAATTTAGATTTTGAACGATTCAAAAACCTATAGAATTAAAATATTAGGCATTACAAAGAATAAAACACTAGCATTATCTAATATCTTTTAAGAAACAACCGATAACAAATGTAACATAAGATTACTCTACGAATAGTGACACTCATTCAAATGGATACAAATTATCGTCCGTCATAGTGTTGACTGGTGGGATCATAATGTCTTGGAATGTATTTCCGTCCTTTGATATAATAGCGGATATGAATTTGTTATTAAGTTGGATGACTACTTGTTATTATTTATCAAAGAGTAACTCTATGTTGTAAGATAACAATATACAAACCATTTGGATGTGCCTGTGATATTTCATTCAGTTTATCGATGTACTCACTTTTGCTTATTTGACACATTACAAAGTTTTTAAACAGTGCAAAATAGTAGTCGGAGTCATTTTTCCCCATATCTGTTTGAATCTCTTCAATAACATTATTCAGCTGTTGTGTTGCCATTTATGTTTTTTCAAGTTTTCCTTGCATAAAACTAGATGGTTTTTTAATACTTAATTTTACTATTTATAATAGAATTTGTTATATACAACGCAGTGTGAAGGGTATTATGAAGGACCACACAGGAATTCAATTAGAAGAGTCCAATCTTAGTAGCGACCTCCATAGCCTCGACATTAGGAGCGAGTCTGACAAACGCCTTTTTAAGTCCGTCGAGTCTGACGAGGGTGTTGATCTTAACAACTTTAGTTTGATATCTCTTCTCTACAGCTCTCTTGATAGTAGCCTTGTTTGCTCTCTGGTCGCACAAGAAAACGATAGTGTTGTGATCTTCGATCATTTTCAAAGCAGTCTCAGTGCTCAATGGGAATTTAATGACGGCAAATTCATCCAATTTGATTCTGTTGGACTTGATGCAGCGAGCATATTTTGGGCTCTTTGGTTGTTTCTTTGTTGGGGCACATCTGAAGTGTGTCGAGGTAACCTTCTTGCCTGCCATTGTGTGGTCTCAGGTGTTTCCAGTTGAAGTTCGTTAAAAAGGGTTTCCATGCAAACCGTTTCCACGCCATTTAGTTATTATTATAGTTAAAAAAGTTAATAGATTTTTATTATATAAAGATAATAAAAAATGTTATAAATAAAACTAAAAAAGATACAATGAAAAAGAAGCAGGAGGACTCCCAAATATCATCCACATTTGAGAGCTGGAAAACTTGGGAAAGGAGAAACGAGTTTTCTGCAGACAGCCGGTCAAGAAGAGGATTGCAACGGTCTGTCTTGTTTGTTATAGACATGTCGTATCCGATGAATTATGAAGACTTCCACCCAACGAGGATATCATTCATCAACACCAAAATGAATAACTTCTTCGACAACTTCTTTGTCGATAACCCACTCTCACAAATTGGTCTTGTCGCAACACGAAATAGCACCGCAGACATCATTTGCCCACTCACAAGAAACATTTCTAAGTTGAAGGAAACTGCGTGGGGGAAGTGCAATGGATCGATATCAGTGCAAATATCACTGGAGCTCTGTTTGCAGTTCCTCAAAGATACCAAAGACATGACCAGTCGAGAAATCGTTTTTGTGACTTCTGCAATATCAACGTGCGACCCTGGGAACATATTCGAGACGATTGGGAAAGTCAGAGACAACTTGATCAGAGTCTCTGTTATCAGCATTTCCGCAGAAGTCCACGTGATGCGACAAATGACGAAAGTCACTGGAGGAGACTACTTCACTATAATGAATGAAAAGCACGCCGAAGAAGTCATTAAAACGTTCATCGAACCACCGAGGTATAAAGCGACTGGCAAGGAGCCCAAAGTCGAGCTCTTGTTTGTAGGCTTTCCAAGAGAACTTGAGCGATCGACTATATGTGAGTGTCACTCCAAAATTGGGTTGGGGCATTATGAATGCCCTGTTTGTGGGTTTTGCTATTGCGAACTGCCCGTGGAGTGTAAGGTGTGTAAAGCAAATTTGATATTTTCTCACCACTTTGCACGATCATTCCACTTCTTGTTCCCGGTGAAACCATTTGTGCTTGAAAAGGAGCCTGAAGTGTGTTTCGCGTGTGGTAAAAAGTATGAGGAAAAGAAGGATGAGGAAATGAAGTTCTGGAAATGCGAGAAATGCTCGAAGAGTTTCTGCGAAACATGCAACATCTTCATCCATGATGTTCTTTTCAACTGCCCGGGATGTGAAAATAATAAGGTTGTATTATCTAATTGAGTATTGAGTCTTATTTTCTATTCAATGACGTGGATTCTATTTTAATATTAATACTATATTTTACTATTCATTATAATATATAGAATGTATTTGTGGGACATAAGAATCAATTGAATTCTAGATGGTTAACATTATAAGAGCGACAAAGAACATGACCCAACTAGTTGACACGCCACTCTCTGATGATTGTTTTGGGTCACAATCAACGAAAAGAGCACTTGAGAATGCTTGGAGTGTAATCTTCTTGTCGACTTTCATTGTCTGGTTTGTGAACAAGTTTCTCAAGCACGCAAATGTCCCGACATCAAACTCGACTGCGGTGCTCTTCATGTTTATTGCCATAATAACATTTTTGTTCCAGTCGTCATCGCCAAGGTACTTTCTTGCATACAATGAAGCGGAATTAGAATATGGTGTGACGGTGCTTTCTGCATTAATGCTATACATTGAGGGATGTGTTGTTCTGAATTTAATAACTCTTTCGACAATAGCCCTTTCGTCTTGCGCTCTTTGAATAAACGTCTTCACGAAATTGGTTCTTCCACAGTTGTCTTTAGCAGCCCCACAGTCTCCGCTTTGGTTCCAACACTCAAGAATATCACCAGTCTCTTCGCCGTAATACACAGTAATTGGTCCCGGGAATATCGCTTGTGTTCCAAAAGCCATTCTCAGAGCTTCAAAGTACTTGTCAGTATCTTGTGCGACATTCCATCTGTTTCTCACCAAATTTCCAATACGTGGAAGGTCATGGTTTCCAATCATCAAGTTGGGGAACATCCAATTTTCATACTTCTTTTCATACACTCTGTTAATAGAAGTGAAAATGTTGGACGCAGTACTCGAAGTTTCTTTGTCGGCAGTTTGCGCGACGACTTTGATCATGTCGTAGTACCCCGGGAAGTCAAAGAAGGAGTCAACGGAGTCGTCCACTGAAGTGCCGTAGTATTTCAACAAATCGTCGATACCCCCTTTCCAAACTTCACCAACAATATAGCCGAGTGTACCCCATTTCTTATTCAACTTTTTGTTTTCCTCAGCGGCTTCGTGTACGGCGTCTCTGATATAACTCAACATGTTTGTTGTAACACCACCGACAGTGTAACTGATCTCGTTGGCCACGTCTAATCTCCACCCATCTATGTCGAAATTCTTGATCCAATACTTCGCAACTTCAACGAAAAAGTCGAGGGTGTCTTTTTTGGTGTAATCGGCAACGTTTTTCGTAGATGCAAGCGCAACCGGCTTTTTATTGTTCGGTGATGCTTTTATATCGGATAAACATTCTGGATACTTCCAGTGACCAAACACACCGTCCAAAATAACAAACAATCCGTTCTCATGTGCAGTCTTGACCAAATTTTGGAAGTCAGTGGTTGTTCCAAAATGTGGGTCTATTGAAAAGTAGTCGTTTGAAAAGTACCCAGTCGAGGGGTGGTTTTTGCAATTGCTGTTGATCGAACTTTGAGAGTTGTTGTATCCTTGGTCGAATATCGGAGTCATCCAAATGGCGTTAAATCCTAAATTACTGATATATGGAAGTTTTGTAATAATACCTTGCAAATTGCCTGAAAAAGTTGTTGACGTTGATCCCCATCCATTCTGAAATCCAGATGCGTCTCCATCAGAAAATGTAGACACAAAAATTTGGTAAACAGTTAGTCCTCGGAATTTAGAAGTGTCAAAAGAAGACACTAAAAGTAAGAGTAATGAGAACGAAATGAACATATTTGTCTTCTGTTTAATTTTAGTTCAAATCCCAATTTATTTTTTTTAACAACCTTTTTGAAAAAGTTTGATCTTTAGTCAATTCACTGGTATTTTGTCGTTTCTCTTTGGAAAAAAGACCAAATTTTTGAAATAGCAAGCATAATATATTCAAAAACAAAACCGTTTGTTTTTTGAACCAAATAATCTTGTTTTTTTCGTTTTTTTTTCGTTTTTAATGTTCGAAAAAATTGGGTTTAAGACAAGTATTAATTATTTTTTATTAAAATTAATTATTAATTAAAAACTCCAATCAAACCGTTTTTAATTGGTTAAGTTACTTCTACTATTATTTAACTATTAATATAAATATTATTATTTTTTTACTGTTGATATTTAACACTTATTTTTGTGTTTATAAATTATTCCTATACCGAAAATATTAAGATATTTATATGAAACAACCGTTAGGCATCCCTATCTTTTTTTTACCAAATTTTTCATACCAGAAATTGTAAAATATTTGAACCAATTATTATACAACAATCGAATTATTATTTTTATATGCATATTTGTATTAGAATATAATAATGTGCAATTACGGGTATTTTATGTTGATAATACATAATAAAAATTGCTTATTTTATTATTTGTTATCTGTTTTACCCGTTTATTTAAGTTAATTACAACTGTAATGTTTACAATATGTTGTTATATGTATTTATATTTTTATGGTTATTATGCAATTACAACTTAAAAAACACCAGTTTTATTACAAAAAACAAGTCAACACTTGAAAAAATGCAGACTTTTCAATTCAGAAATATAATCGACTTTTCTTGTAAATTAAATGAATTTTTAAATAGAAATATTATTAAAAAATGGTTTGATTATTCTTGTAAAAATTCAACAATTTTAATTAACTTTTCAACTTTCAAAAAAGTTATCCAATTAAGTTGATAATTTTAACTCAATAATAATAGAATAATTACAATTACTTAATTAAATCTTATTTACTTATTAAAATATAGTTTATTTATACTAATTTGAAAGTCTAGATTTTCATTCAAAATAATTACTGTTTATTATTGGTTTTATTTTAATTAATAACTTATTATTTAACTATACAGATACCTATTTATATATTTTTACTATTCATTTTAATATTTTTATATATATAAAGGTTATTAAAGAAAAAAAAAATAATCAACTTGTCTATTTATATTTGTTTTAAAGATTCCTTATTAAAATAAATTTATATTATTAAATATAATTACCATTAAATTATATAATAATTTTTATTTTGTTTTAGTTTGAATTTATAATTTGTCAAATATTTTTTAAAAAACATTTAAAAAAACATATTAATAACATATTTAAAATACACAAATAAAAATATTATTATAAAAATAGTATAATATCTTATTACTTGATTATTAAATAACATTTAATATTTTAAACTATAAGAAATAGAAAAACAATATAAAATAATTGTTATTAAAATAAACTAACTTTCATTCTATTCTGGTTTAAACTAAAATGTTATTTAAAATTTGTTTTAGAAACTAAAATAAATTATTTTTGAACAATTTTTTCAAAAGGAAGATGCCTGAGTTTTAATGAGAATTATTTAGTCATAAAAACATCGTCTTCAATACTATTAACCATTTTAAATTTAATAAGTTTGTTAATAAGTAATGGTAATTTAAAAAACACCGAACTAATGGGAAACGGTTAGGTAATGACAAAATAGATATTTAAAACAAGCGAATTCAAGAAAAAGACCAAAAAACAAGGGAACTGTGGATCTTCAAATTTTTATGAGTCACTTTAATCCAACCTCAACCTTTCAGTCGGCGACTCCACGCAAATTGGTCCAAAGCTGTATTTCTACTCGCCGGGCGATGACTGCGACACTTGGTGCCCGAAAAGTAGACCCTGTGATTCCTCCAATAGTTATTGAGGACTTAAGGGGATATCCCACGTATCAAAAAATACGCATAATAAAACGAGATTTAGAAGCAAAACAAGAGAAAGGTGTGTTGCACGCAAACATCACGCAGTTTATGAAAGAACTCCACACCTACGCAGATGCATTAATTGATGACTGCCCCACCAATCATACGTCTTACTTGGTCCGACTCCATTACTTATTCTACACCCTCCTCGCAGACATTTCCAATTTCATTGAAGGATTTTTGACCTCGCAGTCAGTCGATTACTTTTCCCTCCTCACGAAAACCCTCAAAATAGAGAGTGTAGTGTACACACTCCTCTTCCTTGAAAATGCTATCAACACCATTTCAGTGTCATCCCATCGGTCAAAAATCAACGTGTCACAAGAACTCCCCTTCAAAGAAAACATATCACCATTGGCTTCTTCGACGCAGGCGCTTGGCTCTCAAGCACCGTCAATGACCCAGTCCAACACTTTGCTCAGAGAAAGAGCGTCGTCGAAAAACTCGGACGACAGAAACACTGGAATTGGTGCGTTCTGCTTGTGTGATGTCGTCTCGCAATTTGCGATATTATCAAATTTGATGATCGACATGCCGATAAATTGGAAGGAGAAATTGTTCACATGTAATGCGCTCACTCACCCGGACAACTTCAAGTCGTTTGAGTTCTCAAACCAGCGGTCGAAGCAAGAACTTGGGGAATACTTTGATAAAATGAGTCGAGTTCCGATGTCATACTTCAAAGGGTTCAATGGCAATAAGGAGAACTTCTCTCGAGCGTATTCGTGGATGCCGATCATATTTGGAGTCTCGTATGAAGAGTTCTTTGCGAGTCTGATCCATTTGTTTGTTCATTGAATTACTATGAAGTGCGTCGAATAGAATAATAAGTAGTGTGAAAGACGAAGAAAAGAAAGCAGCGAGTGTGGCGTATCTCCTTGAGTATTGGAGGAAAGTGCCGAATGTGTTTAGTGAAACGTACATGATGGGGATGTATAAGATCTTCTTGGAGATCGTCCAAGCCTTTAAAACACTCCATGACACCGGGTCTATAGTCCAATCGATGAGAGTCTCTTTTGATCCAAATGTGTTGATTGAAAAGGTCAAAAGATTCCCACAACAGTATTTCTACGTGTTACTCTCTCCACGACTTGTAGCTCAAAAACTCACCGAAGCACATGTACAGATATTCACAAAGTGCCAACCGCGAGCTATTTTTTATTCGAAACAAATGAGACGAGCGGGAATGGGTGCAGCCGATTAAAGAAGAAAGTCGATATCTTGGCGTATTGGGTGTCGCAATCACTTTATGAATCGATTAATGACATCATATTAAACAAAGAATTCCACGAGTATTTCATTGAAGTGATTGTGCAGTTGTATTACTTGCGACACAACCTCCTTGCAACGTTGGGACTTTCGATCGGGTTCTCCTCATTCAGATTGAACAGATTTGCGAAGCCACAACTCAGACCGGATTTGATGGATACGCGGGAGTGGGTGAACGAATTGACTAACCCTAAAGACGGCAGTTATCCGAATTTGATCCAAGCAATGAAAGAGCTTGGGAACCCATGTATTCCATACTTCGGGAGTTTCCAAAATATTTTCGAAAAAGTGTTGAGTGCGGACATCCAAGACGTCGGTGTCTTGTACCTCAATATTGGGAAAGCGACTGAAGAAACTAGAAGAAACAGAATCAAGTGGAGCGATTTGACCTATGAAGACACACAAATGATAGACAACGCACTTGGAGTGCAGTTGAACGAGTTCTGTGAAACACCGTGGAGTGACGCGAAACTGTTTGACTCTATGGTCAAGTCAACGAAATACAGAGTACTTCATATCAAAGACAATAAAATCATGAGAAGAAAGGTAATTCCGATGTTAAAAATGAACGGGGGAAGACTGTTGACAAACAGAGTCAGCGTGTGTAGATACAGGAGATACGCACCAGTTTAATTTTTTTAGTCTTTTTATCCATCTTTACGTTTTGTGTCAAAAGAGAGTCTTCAAAATATTTATTTGTGTGTTCTTCATTGTTAAACATAGGCAATATGAACTTCTGGGAAACTATTAATTTGTCATTATTTACTATTAAAAATAATTGAAATTTTAGATGGTAATTTGTGTTAATAGTTGTACAGTTAGACAAGTTTGCCTTAAATGGTTCACGTTAATGGTTTAAAAACCAATTATTATAGTAAACAGTGGGTTAAACTAGAAAAAAATTAAATGGTTAAATAAAATAATATTTAAATTATTATTAATTCTATTGTTTTATGTTACACTCTGATCTTGAAAAATAAAACCAAAACACATGTTAAGTATTGTTTTATATGTTTTAACGTGTTTGTTTCGTTGAGTTCAAACACGTCAAACATTTTCTACTTCATTCGAAAACGTTTGTGTTACTTTATATTTATTTTAATATGATAAATCAGCAGTATTTCTTATCGCGATGGAAGAATACTGCTTTTAACTTAATTAAATAATAATATCCATAAAAACGAATTCAACGAAAGGAAAAACTGCTAAACCTGTCAAGAGTGGGATTTATTAAGAATTTCCGCTTGATTTTGGCTAATAAAACGTGGACCAACTCTTTAAAAAGCAAGTTTATGTTATATTCGGGTTTGTTCTTAAGAAATGCCCAAATAATAGAGAACAACAAAAATAATAATTACACACTCTGGAGAAGTCAGACTGTATTTATAATTGAATTGAATTTGAACTATTATAGTTACTTTATTCGTCAAATTTTGATAAAACTTTATTGTTTGTGTTCACATTAAAATGTTGGTGATGATCATGAATATGTAGTAGTTTATTAGTATCTTTACTGTTTTATAGCTTTCTTATTCTTTATATAGTGTGTTTGGGTTTTTGACTTGCTTTTTATTATTCAATTTTTTATATAAACTTGATTATAAAAAAGCAATTTATTAGTTCAGGTTATAGTTCGAAAAATATTATAATTGAACTATAATTTTTACCATTTAACCCAAACTAGTCGTTTAAGTCAAACTTGTCATACTGTATATCAACTTTTTCTTTAAATAGCATTTTGATATTACACTTTAAATTATTATAAAAACCATTACACATAGTAAAATATTCATTAAATAATAGTTTTAAACAATTGTCCCCTTTTGGGTTCAAAAACTGTTAAAAATAGTATATTATAATAAAAATAGTATGTGGTTGTAATAGATTTGATAGTTTTGTTTAATTAATTATCTATTACAATTAAACATCATTTTTTGTTTTACTAATAGTATAAATGCCAATCAAATGGCAAATCTATAACGATTATAGAGGTATCTACGATTTAGTAATATATAGTTAATAGTAATAATACATTACAATGATTAAATAGAATAATAAAACGATTGGTTCATTGAATTAAAATAATACGACAAAGAAGCATTTCAGTGATTGTTTAACCAAATAATAAAGTTAAAGATTTGGTGGTTTTCTGAAGTACCAAAAAAGAGATAGAGAAAATACATAAAGAGATTGGATGTGTTTAACAACAAAGATCTACGCGAAGAACAACACGCGTAAATATTCAACGTCTAGCATTGTCACACATGAAGGAGTTCTGATACCTGAGACTATTATAGGAGAATTCATTTCACTTCAAGCATTCAATCCAAACACTAAATTCACCAACAGGAAGTCTGTTATTCCTTTCATTAACGCTTTGCAAATGTCAGAAGATGTTACTCAGAAAATCGAGTTTAATTCTGTGTCAGACTATTTTCAACAATCTGAGCTCATTAAAACTACATTTGAGCCAAATTTAGTCTTCCTCAAAGCATTCGGAAGAACACAAAGTCGACTTGTGTGTAGATGTAGTAGGGAACTCGAGAAGTCATTGATGGGAAGTGGAGTTGTACCATCTTATGAATACACCACCCCACTTTGTGCAGAGTTGTTAAAAGATGTTCCCGAATTCAGTTATTCGTCATTATTAGAAGCACTCCAAAATGTTCGACAACTGAAAGAGAATTATGGATTTCTTAAAACTAATAATTTTGTATGTGAGGTGCACAGACATTTAGAAGCGAGTCAGAAGGTGGCACTCAGTATAATGTTACTTAAAATGACATCATCTTCCGTATTTAGAACGTTTCAGTTGGTCGATATTAATAAGGAGAAATACACTGATAAAGATATTAAGAATCTACAACACCACATCTTGGAGTTGCCAAACCCAACAAAACAGTTGATGAGACGATTCACTGAAATAACAAAACACGTGAAGGAGATGGCTTACGTGTTCTCTGGCTTTGTAGTCTCTGACGATAATAAAGAGGGATTTGTTAATAAACTAGGCTATGGGATACTCAAGACAGCACTGAGATATGAGTCTTTTGTACTCAAAGGAATAGACGAAACGGGAATCTACGACTTCAAAGAGAGTAGAATGAAAGTTGCGTTGTGTTTAAGCGTGGAGACATTGTCGACTCTGTTGTTTAGTAAAGACTCCGTCTCACTTGGGTATGTCAGATTCTATATGACAACACTCCCGTATTTCACAACACAGAAAACAGTGTTGCAATTCATTAAAGACAACGTTCAGTTGTTAACTACGGACTGCGCCAATGTCTATTTCTCTGTTTGTAAATCATTTTTAGAGTATTGGGGTGACATGTTCACTGAAAGTCAAGTTGAATTCATGGGGAAGGTCTCTCTCAACTACTTCACTGAAAAGGCCAAAGGTGTCACGGACGTAAAAGGTGGGAAAATACCACAAAACACATGTGAGGAGATCACAGGAATGATGTTCAAAGAACTTCGAAGGATGAAAGTGCAAGACCTTGTTCTTCGTGAAAAGAACATTCTCACCAGCCAGGAAGTCACTCACAAGCAAAATTGTTTTGAAGACGTTTCGATGAAATTCAACAAGTGGTGTTTGAACGAGTTGATTACCACAAAAGACTACAAGAAGATGTTAATTCTTGGCGCCAAGTTCTTAGAACTAAAGAATTACGACGCGACATTCAGTGTGTACTGTGGACTAAAAAGTTCACAATGGAAAGGCGACAAAGCAGAGAACTACACAAAGGAGCTTCAAAAAGACAAGAACTTTCGTAATATGGAAATGGTGTTCAATGGACCAATTGTTTCACAGCAATATGACACACTCATATTAAAAGAAAAGGCGCCATTCATTCCAGTCTTCGTGTTGGAAAATAGAAAATTGCTTCTTGCAGAAGAAATTCCAACGTATGTCGATGCCACTCAAACGTCCATTCGAATAGAAGACAAACTGAGAAAATGCTATTCGGCGGTTAATACTTTTATTAGAGGAAGGAGTGAATGTTATGAATTTGACATTGCTGACGTGGAAAATGTTATACAGAAGATAACGGAATAACAAAATAGTGTATTTGTTACTAATAGTTAATAGATATGTTTATAGTTTCTTTTACCTGCCACTTTCTTAATCTATTTTAGTAAAAACTATTGTTTATAAACTAGGATTTATTTATTAGAATTTAATTAAAATTTTAATGATAAAAGAATAACAAAAAGAGAACAAATAATTCGTTTTGAAGAAGGAAAGTGAGCACAACACAATTTGTTTCATATAAATGCAAAAGAACAAATGAATGTATTACATGCTACAAAGGAGATACATCAATGAAATCATTCAATATACACCACAAGAAACGCTTGAAACATTAACAAGAGTCAGTCGACGCTTCGGAGAAGCACCAAATACATTGACTAAGTTAAACTGTCTGAGCGGGAAAGAGTGGAACACTTCACACTTCATGTTGAGTGCAGTTGATCACCTCACCATTGTTAAATACAGAGAGTTCTTAAAGAACAAACCTAACAAACACATCACATCACTTACATTTTACGCATTGGAGTTATACACTACTAATGAACTTTTGATGGTCTGTGTGCCTCAGAATATCGTCAAATTGATATTACACTACAACGAGTCAGTAGCCCCGATCTTGTTGAATGATTTAAGGTTTTTCACAGCACTGAAGTATCTTGCAATCAATAAATATGAGGAAGAGACTCAATACAGCAATACAACACTTGTCAAGACACTGAGAACGTTCAGAACAAAGGAAAAAGCGGCGCAGTTTATCGGGCAATGCTACAAACTGAAAGACGTTGAGACAAGACACAACGACTTACTTGAGAACTTAGAAGCATTGAAATCTGTTATTACATTCCGTCTTCATATGGACCAAATGATGTTCAAAGAGGAAAGGAAATATTCATTCCTCTTTATTAAGCGGATGAGTAAATTGAAAGAGTTGATAATCAGTGATGATTTAATACAGGGAGGTTACTTTATGTTTGACACGTCGGTGTTGGACAGTATTTCAAATAACGTTCAAGTGACACTTAACTTGGAACATGTTGTAGTTCCCTTCAACTCGTACGTTGATATTAACACCGACTACTATACACTATTCATTCAGAAACAATGCACAGTATTGTTACTTAACAACAAAAACATCAATAAGAAAAGCATTTTACAAAACACAGTAAAAGCTGTTGTGCAGGGCAATAATACGAATGATGCCATAAGTTCCGAGCGTCGTGGTGAAGAAGGAAAGAAGAAGAGTATTTTTATTAAACAAGTTGAAGTGTGTCGGAGTGAGGTGAGTTGTTTGACAACTTTACTTTCGAACGTAGAGTGCGAGGAAATGAAGTTTTTCAGGTGTAAAGTTGACAAAAACATCGAACAAACGATTTTTGAGAGCCTTCGGTGTGTCTCATTCAAACGAGTGTGTTGTGTTGATATGTCTTTATTAGAACACATAACTCAACTGACGGAAATGCGTTTCGACGAGGTCGGTAAGGTGAAACACCGGAAGTTCCTAGGCAATTTACACCTGTTGAGTCTTGTTGTTCACAACACGGGGAATCTCTTTATTGACAATATCAGTCGGATAAAAACACTCAAGAATTTGGAGTATGACCAGCGCGACGTGAAGTGTATGAGCATTTTTGGAAAGGAGTTTGTCAGACACAAAGGCGAGTTTGTCACATACCAACATTTTCTTCTCAGTTTGGACAACTGCAAGTTTGAAAGTGTCCACATCAGGTTCAAACACCAGGCTGTTGACAACCCATTTTACTATTTTAAAAGGTAAAAACTAGTATCTATTAATATCAATTTCACTGTGTTTCATTTAGTTAGAAATCAATGGTTATAAAAACTATTGTTATAGTTTATACTAATAACTGCGAACTTTAGAGTAGGGAGTGACATCGGTGACTACCCCAACCGCAACAGTTTTGTTACTGTCTCGAATCACAAACGTCCCTAACTTCGGATAATCTGTAAACTTTTCAACACAAAGTTTTTTGAGTGGAGTTATTGTAACCATAGCAGTTTCTCCCTTCTTCAAAACTACTTCTTGTTCATTTGTAGTCACATCTTCCTGTCGATTGAAGACTGAGTTCACTTTAATATAACAGTTGATCTGTTTCATGTGTATATTCAAAACGGGGTCATACCTCTCTGTAATTCTTTGATCAAACATCATAACTATTTTGGCTTCAAAACTCCCACATCTGATTGCTGGATGATTGTTGGGATCCGACAAAATATCACCAATGTGATATTCATTATATTTGAGATATTGCGTACGTATGCCAACATAATCTCTCTCTTTTGCTAGACTCAAATCTTCATGGTGCCTTTCAATGCTCTCACACGTCGTTGTTGCTCCACTTGGTGCTATTCGCAGCATTTGTTTTTTCACTAACACACCACTTTCAATGACACAGGAACATATTGTGCCAATTCCAATGATAGAGGAGACCTTTTCAACGACAATTCGAAGAGGTTTTTCACATATCTTACGACAAAATTTTAAAGAGTCGAGTTCGTCCAAATAAGTCTTTTCATTAAACCATCCCATATTTGGAGATTTTTCAATTAAATTGTCTCCTTCAAATCCGTCGGTTGGTATGAAAGTCACTTTTTGAAGGTCGAAATGTAAAGATTTCAAAAATTGAGTCATTGTGCTTTTCACGTTGTTAAAAATCTCTTCAGAGTACTCCACACACGACATTTTATTTACACAAATTAAAATGTTATCAATAAGAAACGTTTTATAGTAAATGAGCAGTTCTTTAGTTTCATTTAAAAAGAATTCAAATTCGTGTTTTACAGCAGATACAACGAAAGTTCCTATATCTGCCTGTTGAATCCCACGTATCGCGTTCTTTTTTAACTTCTTACACCCAGGAATATCTGTCATTGAAATATCAAATCTTCGAGTTATTATTTTCCACGTCTTGGTATTAATAGTCTTATCAGCGTTTCTCTCATTTATTGTGTAATCCAACAACCTCGAATACTTCGTATCAACCATCCCAATTTCTTGCGCTTCTCTTTCAGCTTTTTCCATACTCCTTTTATCAATGCCACCTACTTCATAAAGAAAGTGTGCCATCAAAGTGCTCTTCCCACTTTTGAAGTGTCCTCCAACCACCAAATTGATGTATTGTCTTGGTTGACTCATGCTTCTAACTAACTATTAGTATGATCTAACTATATTTATAGTTATAATATAGTATAATTAATAGTTTCGATCTAAATTTACGATTCAAGACTCAATGTTTATGAGTCTTGAATTATTTCGAGAAATAAAGTAAATAACATTATTCAGTGATAAGGAAAAATTGATTACTGTTTTTGTTTGGCGTTGTGGTTCAATCGTTGGATCTGGTCAAACAAAAGGGAATTCCAAACCTCCGCCTCTTCTTTTGTTTCGCATGAGAATTTGTATGGAATTTGGTTCAATTTGCAGTGAATGATATTTTTGACCTTTTCAGTGTCTTCAATCGCATAAATGCCACTCCCTTCTGTGATGATCGTGTCGGTCACTTTCTCAAAGACGTACTGTTCTGCTATGATCTCATCAAGTGAGTTCAACTTACACAACGCTTCCATCGCTTCTTCTTTCGACTTCTCGTCTTTGACATCCTTCCCTTTCATTTTTTTCACATTACACCCAATCAACCGATCGGTGAATAAAAAGAAGAAGTTCTGTGCCGTCGGGCGACTGACCAAATTAACTACCAAATACAGCGGGCCGCAACAAAGGAACCTTCGGCTTGGAAGAACATCGAGTTGAATGTCAATCATGCTTAACACCGCTTTCAATTTGTCTTGTTCTTCAAGTTGTGTTTTAAGTGTGTTTGATGCCTTTGCGCTATCTCTCGCGACTTCAAATGCTTTAATCAAATTGTCCATTGCCGCATAATCTTTGCCGATATCTTTAAGCATATCTCTGATCAAGAGTTCGTATCTTGGAATTCTTTGAATAGGAAGAATCAAATAGAATGAGATGGCTTGGATGTTTTTTACATCAGAGTGTGCGGCCATGTAGTCTTCCTTTGCTTTGTCTTGTGCTTTGACGACATCCTTTTCCTTCTTGAGTATATTAGTCGTCTGTTCTAAGTACTGTGTATACTTAGTAATGTAACTCGAACCCATTTTCAACAGACCAAGTTGACCAGTGAACTTAGCATTAAACTGGGGAAGACCACTTTTAGTCAAGTCCTTCAACCCTTCTTCCATGAGCGCTTGGAAGTTTTTACTGACTGAGCCCAACATCTTAATTGCGCTTTCAATACTCGTCGCAACACTTTTCGCTTCCGAACTTCCAGCATTTTTCATTGGTTCCAAATACACTTTATCCAGAATGTCAAACCCAAGATAGTGGACCTTCTCTGAAGACAGCATTTCATTGTACACCATTTTGAAATGGGACTTGTTCTCATCCGTCATCGTTCTGTTGTGCACGTACTCCTTCATTTTCACAACATTGTCACTCGAGGAGTTACACGTCGCTATCACCGACTTAATTACGTTTTTAATGGTATCTCCACATGTCACCAATTCCATATTATTTGGCACTTTGTACTCTACAAGTCACTTCTTGGAGTCTTTATTATATTGTATATTATATTATTACCTTATATATTTATAGTAATTCGTTAATTTAACAAACTAATAAACTCCGAATCTATGGTCACAAATTTTTGTCTAATGGTGGGGGTCACTGTCGAAACAGTCGTCGAGTGTTTCTTTCGTGTCGACAAGTTTTCAAGTGTTTTCTTTCTTGCAAGTACCTGGTCGTAGATGATACTCTCCCAACAGTTCTTTTCTTCTTCAGTGTTCACCGCAAATTTCCAGTTCAGTCCCAAATTGTTCATCAACAAGTTGATTGGGTATGGAACGGCTGATGACCCTTTGATACTAACAATCCACCACCCAGCACTGACGTCCCACTCATCCGTCACTTCAAACTGACAATTCTCTAAATCTTTCATCTCCATGTCTACTTCTCTACTATACAACCAAGACGCCATATCCCCATCTTGCTTCTTAACAGACTCTCCACTGCATTTTAGTCTCACTCAACACTCATTCGAACAGAAAAGAACAAACTGGAACTTCTTTGGCTTCGTTTGGATCAAAATGTCGTTGAACAAGAAGTAATAGAAAAGCTCTTTTGGTGGTTCCTGCAAATTTGGGATCCAGTACATTGGTCCGCAGCACATGAACTTTCTTGTGGTCGACTCTCCAAATTTCAGAGATCCCTTAATGATCCCTTTTAAGAACTTCAATTTGTCTTGTTCTTCAAGTTGTGTTTTAAGTGTGTTTGATGCCTTTGCACTCTCTTTAGCATCATTATAAGCTTTAATCAGACTTTCAAGGCCCGAGTAGTCTTTACCCGCGTCTTTAAGCATATCTCTGATCAAGAGTTCGTATCTTGGAATTCTTTGAATAGGAAGAATCAAATAGAATGAGATGGCTTGGATATTATTAACATCAGAGTGTGCAGCAATATAGTCTTCCTTTGCTTTGTTCTGTGCTTTGACAACATCCTTTTCCTTCTTGAGTATATTAGTCGTCTGTTCTAAGTACTGTGTATACTTTGTCATATAACTCGACCCCATTTTCAAAAGTGAAAGTTGTTTAGAGAATTGGGTGTTAAAGAGGGGAAGACCCTCCGGGGAAAGATCTTTAAAACTTTCTTCCATGATCGATCGGAATTTGGTGTGAAGCTGTACGACGATGTTAATAGAGCCTTGCACATTCGATGCGACACTTTTGGCTTCATCACTTCCTACCTTCTTCATCGGCTCCAAAAAGACTGTGTTTAATATGTCTAGACCAGTTAAGTGGATCTTTTCCGTTGAAAGCATTTCAGCAACAACCATCTTGAAATGGGACTTGTTCTCTTCCGTCATCGTTCGATTACGTACCGAATCCAAAAACTTTTCTAAAGTATCACCGGCTCTTTCGGAAGCTGTAGAAACATTTTTCATCACAAGCTTGATACACTCACTGCACGTGATGAGCTCGCCTGGTTGGTTGTCAAGTTTGTATTCTATGGGTAAGCAAATAGTATATTAATAGTTGTTTTATTAAATAAAGTATAGGTTGTGGTGAGAAACTGAATTACTAGGGGTGAAAGGGGGCAAAACAAACTTACAAAGTCCGACGTGTAATTTTTCGATAGGAATTCCATCTCCTTTTTTTCATTCTCTTTCCGTTCATCTTCAGATTGAGAACCCTTACGCTCTCTTTTTTTGTCTTTGTCTTTTTCCTTTTCTTTGGCCACAGACGCCCGACGCTTGTGGGGATTGAAAACTAATTGTCATTCACTCATTTCTGAAAAAAGGAGCTTTTCGAGCAAGATCGAAATGATAACAAACTTGACGACATTTTTATTTTGGAATTTTAAAGTTTCGTTTTTTCAGTGGTTTTCCTATTTCCCGGTTTTTTAATAAGTTTTATGTCATCAATTTCCCGTTTTTTCTGATATATTTGTACCATTGATAGTTGAAATATTTTCAACTTGAAATTACTCGAAAATAAAAAAAAAAATAATCGTTGAAATTGGTTTGAATTAATACAATTAAAACCATTTTTAATACTAATTATATTATAAATTATTAAATTAAAAATTCAAGTTTATTTTGATTTAAAAATCAAACTATAATCAAACTAATAACATACTTTTTTTTTTATTTGATTACAAAAATAACACATTTTAAATTTTTTTAAAATGTTTTATAATTATTTCGTAGTTTATTATTTTTAAACTACAAATGGTAATAAAAATATCAATCCAAATCAATAATACCATTACTAATAACATTTATTGTGTTATTAGTAATATACTATATTATATATATTTAAAACAATTAAATATAATAACAGTATAGTTTCTATACTTATGATTTAATAATAACTAATTATTCTAGAATTGAGTGATATACTCTCCAATAATATCTTTCAAGTGCTCGACATTATTCACAACCTTTCTTGCTTCTTTTCTTTTTAGTATTAATTCTGCGTTCTCGTCTTCCGACCGAATATTTTTATTATTGATAATGAAAGTCTCGAATTGTGCTTTTAAAGTGTTGCACTCTTGAACACTCTTTTGACCTTTCTCAGTTTGCATGTACAAGTCGTTGAGTTGTTTTAAAGCGTTTTGATGTGTTACATCTTGATCTAAAAAATAGCCAGGACCTACTTTTTGAGTGGATAGTAAAGAACTGCCATCACTAACTTCATTCAATTTACCAACCCGGTATATCACCTTTTCATTTGTGTCACTTTGTAACACGCCATTCGAATAGATATGATTTTCCTTAGAATAGCAATACACCCAATTTTTGATATTAATTCGCAAATCACTAAATTCCTCAGAGAACTTACAATTTAAGATTTTACCAACGATTTTTCCTTGATATTCCAATTCACAATTTTCACTGTGCACGTTGGGGATTGTCACGGTACAATTTTTAGTTTTGGCCTCTGTATTCCCAATCCCCGATATTTTGAAGGTGTTTGGTTCTATCACTCGTTGGACAGAACACAGTCGGACTTTTTCAAAATTGGAAGAAAGCTGCATCCCAACCAAAACACTTCCTTTTGATATCACATTTTCTTTATTCAATCGGTGCTTCACTATAAATTGGTGTTCTTCAAATACACGACGAAGAGTATCGACACGACTCCCTCCTCCTATAAACTCAATGTCATAGATCTCAACACCTTCCCGCCGTTGGAGTGTCGCAACCACCCTTTGCGCCAACTTTAAAATGTGTTCGTCATATTCTTTAACCCATTCAATGAACTCTTGTCGCGTTATGACCTCATTGATCTCTTCAGTGCTCGAGATGGAGATCTTCATAGTACTTTCAAGCGACTGGCGACTTGAAAATGTCGCTTTGAACTTCTCGACGTCTTCACTTATCTTACGACGAAGCTTTTCACTCAGACACGTTTTTGATTCGTCGGTGTCTGTCTTTTTTGAGTCGAAAGAACTGTCGCTTGTACTGTCTAGACTTTTCGATGTTGAAAATGAGTCTTTGAAATCATAGCCACGCTCTTTTAAAATCTCTTCGACCTTCTTATATATCACTTCGGTGTAATTTGCACCACCAATTGGTATAGAATCTTCTACTATAATACTCACCCCAAGACTTTCTTTTTTAATTGCATAACACGAACTTTGTGATTCACCAACGTCTAAGACTAATATATATTCTCCAATTTGAGGGAAGTAAGACCACAAATATAATGACACACAGACACTTGGGGAAACTATTTGAAGACATCGCATTCCCGAAAGTTCAAGAATGTTTTTAATTGAAGACTTTTTCTCTTCAGGTATATTTAAAGGGAGTGTAAGAATACATAAATCAGCTTGAGAAACAGTTTGAATCATTTTAAAAAAGTAGATGAGTAAAACTTCTTTGTTGTACTTATAACTATCAATTTCAACTTCAAAAATATTTTGTTCTAATAATCTTTCAATACCAAAGTAACAACACTCGGGTAACCGCCATACTTGGGATACACTGGCATCTACACCAGCCTTAATTTCATTTTTAATTACAGCTATTGAAGACCGAAATGAAGACTGCCCTAATGGCGTTTCAACTATGTCTATGACTCCATCTTTTAATATCGAAACTACTACATTATAATTCCCCAAATCAATTCCAATAACACGATTTTTCATTTCTTCTTTTAAGTTCTTGCTTTAATTTAAAATCTAGTTTAATGATATAGTTAATAATAAATTACTTCTTCTTGTTTGTTGTTAAAAATAGAATCTACTATTTAATAATGTTGTTATTAAAATAATTTAAACATTATAGTTAGTTTGTTTTAAATAAATAATAGTATTTTTTATAGTTTAATGGTTTTGTAATATATTATTAATTCAATAATAAATATTATTTACAATTTTTTTTATAAAAAAATATAATTATTGTATAACATTTTTACTAACTATTCCAATTAACCACACAATAGAAAAATTAACAAATTATTAATTAAAAACAAATATAACAATAAACATTTGATTTTACCATTTACTATTATTCCAACAATAAACTATAATAAATAACAAATAAAATTATAATATATAATAAATTTAAACAATGAAAAAAGTGAGGCTTATTAGATGATGAAATGAACGAAGAAGAAAAGAACTCAAAAAATCATGGAGGATCTTGATCGAATTGATCCCTTACAGCTTTCTTCTGCATTAAACACATTACTTCGGAGCATAACTGTGGATGGAAAAAACTTGAATGAGTCGCTTAGTGTGTTTCCATATTACTCGATATTAACCAACCTCATTGGACGCCTTAAAAGGGGGCCAACGAGAAGACAGTGTTACAATAGATTGACAACAGCTTATCGATGTCCCCAATGTTACGGACCTAATGTCACTTTATGTCAAGATTGTTTTGATAAGTCGGAACACGTTGGGCATAACTACAAAACGTTCAACGACCCTCGGGGATACTGTGATTGTGGGATCTTCCGGTTTGAAGGTGATGTGATGTGTAAACACCATAATGGCCGAATTAAATATGATCCCACACTCATTCAAAAGGTTTTTGGGACGTATGAGGACAAAGCAAAACTAGTTGTGACCACTGTCTTCGAGACATTACAAAGCGCGATGCAAACACTTTCGAACTCGATGTTTTGGGATACTCTTAATGAGGTATTCATTGAACTCAGTAAACTCTTTCAATATGAAACTTTATATGAACTCTTTGCTGTGGTCTCGGCAGAGTGCAACTTTCATTTGAATGGAGACTTAAAGAGCCCAGGTGTCCCATTTGTGGAGGTGTTATTTGACTTCATGAATAACGTCACACAGCACGAGAAAGATATCATCAACGTCATCGGAAACACGTGGTTTGTACCTTTAGCGTCGCACCCGGCCAACTACAAGAACTATCATTACTTTGTTCTTGGAGCGTATCAAACAAAAACACGATTTTACGCAACAACACTCTTCATAATACCAAAGAAGAATTGCTCCAAAATTAGTGTGACGTCACACAAACAGTTTTTAACTCTATTATTGATGACACTCGATTGTTTCCAACTCTTCTTCGACCCAACAATTATCGAACAGAAATTCACAAACAAAATCTTCACAACACAGGCAAGTAAGGCAGTGGAACTCTTCCGGCGATTATTGGAATGTCTTCAATACTTCTCGATTGAAGACGTCGAATTTCTGGAAACGCTCTTGTTTGTCATATACTCGACTTTTGTGTCGGAGCAAAGGGTCGAGTACGTGATGTTCTCTGAGATGGCGATGATCTACAAAAACACGTTTCAAATGCTTTTACTGTGCTCCGACGACTTTTTGCGTAAGATAACAAAGCTTCTTGGTTCGTCTAATGTGCACAACGAAGAGTTCATTGCGCAGTTTTGTAATTTCTTTTTCGAAAGGGGGAGGTTCATGGTGGTGATGGATTTGATGGATAAGAAGAATGGCAATGGGATATTAGTACCGTGCTATGAATATCCCGAATTCACATTTGCGAGGGGTTCCGTGACGGTTCAGACGCATTTGGACTTTCTTGAAATCAGACAACAACAGATGAATGACATTTCACGATACTTCTCACAGATGTCATTTTTGAGTCTTGTCTCCGAAGTCGAGAAGAGCAAGGAGAACCTCATTGAGTTTCTAAGAAAGAGGTACGACGGGATCAGTAACGCGAAAATCGTGCAACTCATTGTGTGGATCACAAATTTTTCACAAGAGAAGTTGAATGGGTGTTTGAGCCAAATGAAGTTTTATAATCAACTTGAAACACTTAATAGGAAGAAACTGTCCCTTGTCGCATTGTTAAACGCTTTTGTTATTTACAAAACAGCAAACCCATTTGTTCCGTTTGCGCCGAGTTCTGTGAATGTGCTTTACTTAGTGTTGTGTCAATTATTTGGAAGAACACTTGGTGTCTGGGATTCAAAGAATGGGGAGAACAAAATCATCGAATCAGTCGAACTCAGTGAAATAATGGCAGATTGTGTGAATGAACAACCCCTTTTTGTGATCCACATTTTATGGCAAAGAGTTTTACAGAAAGTCGTTTTGAAAGACGACGATTTTGCTCTTATTATATTCGCACAGATACACTCCTTTTTACAGAAATACCCCACATTCTATGTTTGTTGTTTTATACTAGACATTCTTTAAAGATACATAAATAATATATTTTATAGTTTCTGTATTAATTCTATATGGTTTGGAGATGGCTTGTAAGTGAATTGAAAGGAAGAGACTTAATATCAGAAATCCATTTATAAATTGGCGATCATGTACGACCAAGTCACGCCAGGAGCACAGGCAATGTTCGTTGATAGCAAGTAACTCACATTTTGTATTGTTTCGTCAAGTGTTACCGTCATGCTATGACGGGTTATATATATCTATTTTTTTAAATAACAATTTAACAAATTTATTTTTTTTGGTTAAAAGTATGTTGACTTTTTCTATTTTTCAGTTTTGTATTATTAAAGTTATATTTTTAAATTCAAAAAATAGACATAATATGGTAGATTTTAGTTTTTTTTTGGTTATTATTTAACTTATTAATAAATATTTATAGAGTTAATAAACAGGAAATATCCAAACAAAATATACAATAAAAATAATTGGGAAGTAAGTTTACAGTTTTAATTAAAAAGCTATAAAAAGCTATAATTACCAAAACTGAAGAAAAAAAATGAAAATTTCCATCATTTTTTTACCATTTTGGAGTAATAAAATTGTATTTTTAAACATAAAACAAAAAGATGCCAGTTAAAAAAGAACTATATATTTGTACAATATAAGTTTGGGTCATTATGAACTAAAAAAATGAAAAACAAGAAAAATGAATCAACCCATAAAAAGAGCGAAAAATGACCAATAATTACACGAAAAAAAAATCATTAAACAAGCTGGAAGTAATTAGAAGCATGGTTTCAAAATATAGAGATAATTTGTATTGTTGTATACTAAAAATATATAGTATTATCAATAAAATAGCCACAGAGTTATTTTAAAGGGGGGATAAAAAAACAATGTAAACAGGGAATTCATATTGTAATGATAATTGTTGCTATATTACTAACCTTGACAGCTTCATTGAAAATCTCTTTTGATGATTCTTTGGTCAGTTTGTTTGACAACGAGAGCGACTTTTTCAGTGATGATGACATCGACAGCTTCATGACCTTTTTTGAAAACGATGATTTTGACCTTCTTTTAAAAGATGAGGAGTGGGGTGAAAAATTCAAAGAGTCTGCAAAAGCAATCGCGGACAAAGCTGCTGCTTGGATGGAGAAAAATGGTCCTGCTGTAACAGAAACCATTTCTAAAGTGACTAAAATTGCTGGCACTGTCAACAAGGTAGCCAAAGTTGTTGGTGGTGTTGCCAAAGTCGCATCATTCATCCCTGGTGTTAATGTGGTCGCTGCACCGATTGCGACAGCTGCTTTTGCTGTTGAAAAAGTATCTGGAGCTGTTAAAACTGTAGGAGGGATAGCGGAGAAGACGATGAACATTGCTAGTAAGACAGCAACTGGATACAAAGAGGGTGGAGGTAAAGAGGCGATTAAGAGACTTGCAAAGGAGACTGGAAAGGAGGTAGTCAAATGGGGAGTAAACAAAGTTGTGAGTAAGGCAACTGATACTTTAACTGATGCTGGGATGAAAGTACTTCAAGGAAAGTCGTTAGATTTGTCGAAGAAGAACTTGAAGAGCAAAGCAGCAGAAGCACTCAAAAGTCCGTTTGATTATAAAAAGAATATAAAAGACTTTAAGACGAAAACACTGGGCGAATTCACTCCGAAAACTATGAAAAAGAATTTGAATAAAGTGTGGAAAGAAACACGATTAAAATCCCAAAAGAAAGTTGATTTGAAGAGACTCTCAAGCACTTTTAAGAACAAAGAGTCTGTTAAGGATTTTCAAAAATCGAAATTGGGTCAACGATTCAATAAAAAGTTGGGCGAATACGTAAAGGATCAAGCAAAAACAGGACTAAAGAATCAGATCAAAAACGGACTTGCGCCAGTAAAGGATGGAGCTATTAAAACGGTGAACGGTGCGATAGACAAGCTGTTCCCTGATGCTAAAAAACCCGGGAAGGCAAATTTAACAAAGAAAAACAAGTTGGGTGCTTTGAAAATTAAAATACCAAAGGTTGGAGTGACACTGAAAGCAAAAGACTCTTCAAAAAAAGGAAAGAAGCCTATCCCAGTTAAAGGCCCAATCGTCCCTGCTTTTGCTAAGAAAAAAATAACTTTGAAACCACAAAAAGGTGGAGCCGGCAAAAGTTTTGCTTCTCCCAAAAGTAAATTAAAAATCGCTGCTCCAAAGAAAGCGACATTAACAAAACCAAAAAATACACAGAAGCCAAAAACGAAGCCCATTGCCAAAAAGTCTGCGCCAAAGCCAAAAGCTAAAATCGCGATCAAAAAAGTTGCTCCAAAACCTAAGCCAAAGCCTGTTGTCAAGAAGATCGCTCCAAAACCAAAACCAGTCGTAAAAAAGGCTGCTCCAAAACCAAAACCCGTGATCAAAAGAGTCGCACCTAAACCAGCACCAAAGAGAGTAGCACCTAAACCAGTAAAAGCATCAATAAAAAAGAGAAAGTGAGATTTTTTTGTGTCTTTGAGTTCTATCAATTACAACCATATTTATGATATAAAATTATTATAAATTATAATTCAATTTTTTAAAATTAAAGATAATTAAATAATATTTAAAGCTTAAATATTATTTTAGTACAAAGTATAGTTGAAACAGTCATAAGATATTATGTGTATGAAAACTTAAAATGATAATACTGAAACCAACTAGTCATAAACCGAAAAATTATAATTAATTTAAAAAACAATTTATTACAAACAGTGTTTAAATTATAATTATGATATTGTGATTTATTAATGTGTATCATTCAAGTATTATGGTTTTTATTTGATAGTATATAATCATTTAAAAACGTTGATATTTCAATGTTCAATTATAATTCTGTTTATAAGTGTTCCGATTTTATTGCAAAATTTTGTATTTTTAAACTTTGTGATACATTTTTGATCATCAAAAATGTTTTTTTAAATCAGGCAAAAATTTATAAAAAAACAAATTAATTATAAGACAAAAAAGAAAAGAGTGAATTTTTTATTATTGATTGAATCTTTATTATAAACTTTTATTAAATATTATTAATAATAAATTAAGTAAACTGATAATATATATTAAATTAAGTTCTAATATATATTAAATAAAGCGGCTCGAACCAAAGCTAAACCCAAGTCGATATGAAATGCAAAAATGCTAAAAGAAAACAACAAATACCCATAATTTCTTAGAACTTCAAGAGGTGAGGGAATTGACCAACTCTGACGGAGAATGGGGTCTTCATGTATTCTTTGAGGTACTGAGTCTTCTTAATTTCTGGGATGAGAGTTTCGTCGACTTGTTTTTGTTTGTTCAAGAGGATTTCCTTCTTGCTTTCGAAGTCCTTCTTAATTTCTTCTTGTGGGAGGACCTTTCTGAAGTGGTCTCTCTTCTTAGGAGTATTCTTCTTGAAGAACATGAAATCGATACCTTCAGTGTTCACCTTTGAGACGTCGACTTTTTGTGAAGTGGCGATGACATAGCGTTGGTTGATTTGAAGTAATGGGACACCAGAGAGCTTGAATGGGCCGGTAACAATCAAAGAGCCCGACTTAATGCATTGCTTCAAGTAAACGACCTTCTTTCCAGCATACTTGCCAGCTACAATAATGCAAACAACACCTGGGACAATGCTCTTTCTCAAGTGCTCGAGATTAGCAGCGGGTTTGTCGAGGGGGGTTTGCTTTGGACCCTTGCGTGTTCTCAACTTTCTCTTTTGCTCGACTATCATGTCGTCGGTCGGATAGTACTCAGGCATTTTCGTGCCATTCGACTTTGTTGGGACAAACCACTTTGGTGCGGACATGATAAACAAGGGTTTGTTTTTTAGTTTTCACTGCTTGACCTCCAGTTTTTAATGGCTTTTTTTACTATATTTACTAGTTAATTGTTTCCTCGATGATGGCGTGTGTTTCAATGTTTTGTTTTTTTATTGTTTAAAATCGGGAAGATTAGATATTTTAAATAAAGCTGAACTGTATCATTATTATAATACTGTATACCATTCTCTTAACTAGAAACCAAGAAAAAAAAAAGAAAATGAATTAATTTTTTATAATAAACAATACTAATTAATTTACTATAAAGTTAAAAATAAAATATAGTAAATCATTTAAAAAATAATAGTTTTTTATAATCATTTGAAAACATTTGAAATATTTTTGACATGTTTTTTGGTGTTCTCTTATAAAAAAGAAATTAGAACTAGAACTATAAGTATAGTAAAAAAAATCTGCTGAGACTTTTTCGATGAATATCTTTTCCAAAGAACTTTTAAAAGTATATTTATGATCCTTCTTTTCTTTGTCTTGTTTTTTGCAACACGCGGGACATATAAAGCGTGGGTGATCACAGACACTCATACCGATAACCAGTACAGTGTTGGATCTGCTGCGAAATGTTTTTCGATCGACTGTTGCCACGAAGACTCTCGTCCACGTAAGAACACAGAGAACGAAGTAGCTGGTCGTTGTGGTAATACCAATTGTTATGCTCCATTGGATACCGTAGCGTCCTCGTTTGACTTTATCAACGCACACAAAGACAAAACTGATGTTGTCTTTTGGTTAATGGACGCAGTTCCTGGTGATGTAGTTCGACAATCGAAGGAAATTAACAAAGAGACGATTACCTCTGTTGTTGAGCAGATGAAAAAGAGGATGCCTGGTCTGCGAGTGTATCCCGTTCCTGGTAATCATGACTATTTTCTCAGTTCTAACTGGGAGTTTGTTTAATTATTATTTATAGTAATATTAATTATAAATATACTTCTTCTCTCACACATGTGCTCATGTCTAGGTACCCCCCAAAGTCTCAATGGATGCTCGACCATTTGAGTGATTTGTTCAGTGATTGGTTAAGTCCGACAGCTTTAGAAACGTTTAAGAAAGGAGGATATTACACTGAAATCATTGAACCTGGGATAAGAGTCATTTCTCTTAATTTGGTCTATTTCGATACATTCAGTACACATTGTTCTGAGTACCAAGAAACAGACCCTGCGAATGAAGTTGCTTGGTTTAAAGACACCCTCCAAAATGCAAAAGAAAACAATGAAAAGGTGATGATAATATCACACGAATGTATGGGAATACGTGACGACGGGACGTTGGAACTGACTCCAAAATTCAACGAAGACTATGCCGACATCATGAAGACATACGGTGGCATCGTTATCGCTCAACTCTGCGGACATACTCATATGGACGCGTATAGATTATTACCAAACTACACTGACGCTACATTCCCAAGTATCGTTAACCCCGCGTTAACGACTTGGGGCAATTTAAACCCTAAATTTAAAATCATCGAATACGACAAGGATTCTGTCGTCAATTGGGAAACTTTCATGTTGAACATTTCAGAGTGCAATTTGATGGAGTCTGGATATAATTGGGTGAAGGATTATAATGCTGGAGAAACTTATGGTATCACGAGGTTCGATGTTGAGGGATTGAGAGAGTGGACTGATGCTATGAGAAAAGACGAGAGTGTATTCCAGACCTTTGTTAAACACTTTAAGGCAGAGGATTTTGTCTGCACAGGAAATTGTAGAGAAAGACTGCTTTGTGCTTTCACACACCACAACGAACAGGAATACATCGACTGCCTCACAAATCAATAATCCATTCATTGCAATTAGTATAATTCATTTTAATAGAACATATAGTACAGTCAATTTTTATTATTGTTTAAAATGTATTATTGTATATTTAAAATTAAATTATATAATCATATAATTCTTTTTGTGAATTAAAACAATTACAATTATTATAATTATAATTAAAAAAAACTAAATAAATTTTAACTATCAATTAATAATAGTTATTATTAGATATATTTTACAATAGTGTTAATTTAGTGATTATATTTTATTATTAATTAAAAAAATTAATTCTAATAACAAAATTCAAAAACATTTTTGTTAATTTATTTTTAACTTATTATTAGGTTTTGTATAGTTTAATTACTTTTTAGAATAGTTCAATAACAATTACAATTTTAAAATAAAAAAAAAAGCAAAAGTAATACTAAATTTATTTATTTATTTATTATAAATAATAATAATATTTTTTTTGTAAACTGTAAATAACTGTTTTAAATCATAATTAAATAACTAACCATTCAATTAAATAAAATCAAACTATCAAAATAGTTTTGTTTATTTTTTTTGTTTAAAAAAACCCGTTTTTTTAGGTTTTACTCTTTAGTTTCGAATACTAATTAATACTAAAGAATAATGACTGAAAAAGTGGGTAAAACCTAAAAATACAATAGGGAATTATCCCTGAATATTAATTAAATAATCTTCTTAATTCAATTCAAAATAATCTACGCGTCAAATGTCGATCTAGTTAGAAATATCATTTGAATTAATAATTCTAATAATACTTTGACATCATAAAGCTCTCTAGATTAGTAAAAAAGCTATACAAATAGAAAAAAAATCAAGAGAATTTCAAAATTTTAACACCAAGAAAAGTGAACTGACTTTTGGAACTGTGAAAAATTGAGGCCTTATGGGAAACCGTTTGTCACATACAAAGAAGCTTTTTGAGAAACTTGACTACGGCAACAAAGGGTACCTTGTCCTCTCTGATCTTATCAAAGAAGAATCTTTCATCCCAACTGTATGCCATTCCCCAGTAATGATGTTTCTTGTTTGCTTTCCTATGTACTATATAATGTTATAAAACAACTATATGCAAACTATTCCAATGAACTTACATCCAGTACGACTCGACCGGGGAGGGTAGGCTGACGTATGAAGACTTTCTCGAGTTAATCTGTTATGTGAGCGATTTAAAAACGCGCTGTGAACAAAGCCAGAAGGACAAAATGAAAGAAAGCGACTCGCGGAAAATACTCCCGAAGATTCGATGCTCCGTGACGGAAACGCCGGACTGCAACCTCGCACCGTTAACAACACCATCACTCCCAGAAACATCAAAATCGCCCACCCCAGCTGTCTTTAGTATGATCACACCAAGCGACTCCCCCGCGCCTGGAGTCACGCCAGGGTTGAACCCCGCCACGTTACTTCAAATGCCACCCAACAGTGTTACTCCGACTCCCGGTGCTAAGGGTGAAGTTAATGTGTCTCAAATACCATCTCAAGAGATGTCGCTGTTGTGGTCGTTGTTTGATCAAGAGATGAAACATCGATTTTTGAGTGTAGTAGAGAACACACAAAAGTATAAGGCGTTCACCTGTTACTTGTTCAATTTGACGGACACGAAAAAGGACGGGAAGATCGATATCGAGGATTTGGAATTCATCCTTGAAGTGCTCTACGACGACGGAATCACTATTGAAAATTTACTGTACGAGTGCCCACAAAGTCGACCACAGAGTGTCGAAGAAGAGGCACAGATGATATTCCAGACGTATTCATATAAGAACAAATCGTTTCTTTGTCAGGCGGAGTTCTCGTTCTTGGCGAATATGATAATGAAGAATTACCGCCTGAAAGCAGAGGGGAACAGCATCCGACTCGTCGGGGACTATGAACTTCAGAGGAAATTGGGAGAAGGGAGTGAGGGGTGTGTCCGACTTGCTATCAATCGCCGCACTGGGGAGAAAAAGGCGATCAAGATCTTCAACAAGAACTCGCAGATCAATTTGGAGCACCTTGAAAATGAAATTTCGAGTCTGCGCAAATTGAATCATCCGAATATCGTACGACTCGATGAGGTCATTGAAAATGATGACCAACTCTATTTTGTCATGGAGTTGTGTCCCGGGGGAAGTCTTGCGGAACATATTGCAATAGCACCGTTCTCTATTCCCGTTGCTCGAAACTTCTTTAAACAGCTTTTGAGTGGTGTCAAGTATTGTCACGACAATGGAATAGTCCACAGAGACTTGAAACTTGAGAATTTGATATTAGACCGCGATGGCATTAACTTGAAGATCTGCGACTTTGGTCACAGTAGTTTTATAGTGACTGATTGGGACTTTGTGCAGAGTAATGTTGTGGGAAGTTTATATCATATAGCTCCAGAGCAATTACTTGACCACTGCTATAGAGGTAAAAAGGCGGATATCTGGTCTATTGGTGTTATATTAGTCAGAATGTTAACGGGGAAGTATCCGTTTTATTCGAAAGACCCTGAAGAGACAGTCAAGATGATTAAATATGCTGTCTATGTGTTACCAGACTCTGTTCCAATGGAAGTGCAACAATTACTGTCACATATCTTTGTTATAGACCCGGAGAAGAGGTATTCAATTGAACAGATAGAAGAGTCGAGTTTCACGAAGTGTGATGTCTGTATGCCATTTTCATTCACAAAGAAAACGATTATTATAGATTCGACACTCACGACGATAGATAACGCGTGGAACACTATACACAATATATTGGAATCCAACGGCGTGATGTGTAAAAACAACACGAGGAGCTGCTATACGATGTACTGTTTCCACCTCAAAATGCAGATGAAGTTTGTGTTGGGGTGTCGTGTCGGGCAGACGCCAAACTCAAACACCTATTTGGAGTTTGCGATGACCGACGGCGCTGGAATTGACTTCCGAAACTTCATCGAGACGATTCGAAAACAATTTGTTGATAAAATAGAGAATGTCTGTCTTATTTTGAATGAGAAGTCCTTTGACTCCCTTTTACTTGAAAGCTCGCAGCCGCTCTTGACGAGCTTCAGGCGGTCGTATGAGGAGTCCGTAGAGAAGAGTCGTGTGAGTGTTTTGTTATGTGGGAAAGCTGGGTGTGGGAAGACATCCTTGGCGCAACGATTCTTTTCGAGTAACATAGAAGTCGATAGTGTACCTACAAAGTACTATACGAAGTATATCCACCCACACAAATCAATTGTTTTGTACGACGCAAAGGGGATTGAAATGAAGACGAAAAACGACTTCTGGGAGGTCACGCGAAGCTTTTTGGAAGTCCACAAAAGCTCCGAACGAATCCACTGTGTGTGGTATGTAGTAGATGCGACTGCGTCGCGGTTTGATGTGATGGAAGAGGAGATCTGTCGTACGTTGTTTGACATTCCGATGGTCATTATTATTAATAAAGCAGATTTGTTGTCTGACGAAGAGCTCACGAAGCTGAAGACTAAAATTGAGAGTTACAAATTTGAGAAGTGCGTTGGAGTAGTCACGACTATCGGACTCCCACCAGAAAAGGTCCCGCGCGGGTCTGCAAATATATGTAGTCGGTGTAAGTCGGACGATATCTGTGTGTTTGTGAAACAAAACGTAGTATTTTGTAACGCGTGCGGATATGAACAGTCGATCATGGCAAGAACTAATGTCGATCAATATGATAAAGTGATTGACTTGACTATTTCGATGCTTCCCGATGCGATGAAATCAAATTTTGTCTCGGGCCAGTCCCTTTCAATAACACGCAAAATAGAAACTAGTAAGAAGCTTCTTCGGGAGTATTATAAAAGTCTTGGAACAAACAACGAATACGAGTTAAAGCGGGTGTTACAGCTCTTGACTAAGTTGAACAAGTTGTGGGATATGGCGGACTTTCACACCGTCAAAGTCGCCTCGAAAGTCATTCAAAATTTCTTGTTGAGTAAAAAGGATGTTGGGAAGACCATTGCAAATTTCTTTTGTGATTCTCCCGTCTTTGAGCCCAATGAATTTACAGCCGTCTGTGTCGTGTGGGTGCAGTGTTTGACTGACTTGCATTTCGTTTGTTTCTTTTTACTATATCTATTAATATCTTAACTCTCACATACACTATACCATATTTAATTAGTACTATATTAAAATATAAACTATATTATAATTTACTATATTTCATCAGTAACATTTAATTCTTTATATTAATATATTAATATGAAGCAAATGATCCAAGAAGTCTTAAATGGTGGGAAAGGGTATGCAGACAACGACGCGTTAACGAAAAAGGTGATGGACGCGTTTGTCAAAATGCAAAAGAATTATGTAGAGACGGTGCAAGCTGATTTGACGAAAAATGGGATTGAAAGTGTCTTGAAAAAGTTCTAATTGAATTTCATTACAGTGCGAACGCTGGTGGTGTTGCGCTAATTTCCAGTTGTTTTTATCGCGATTTTTTGTTCAAAGGCCCCTCTTAAAAGTTAAACAGTAAAAAAATACAATCAACAGCACTTCTTCTTCTTTTTTAATGAAGAGGACAATAACACGGGTTCGTCTGCATTCACTAGTGGAACAGGAGCCGCGGGAATATTATCGATTTCTTCTATACTTAATGACTTCGATGAGGACGACCGCACTAGAAAGCTTTCTCGCATCTTTTTAGCTTCTAATGGCTTATGTAAAAGATCAACATACGTTTGAGCTAAACATTGAAACACTTCGGTAATGTTCTTCCCACTCTCCGCTGAGGTCTCAAAATACTTCAAATCGGGAAAGGCCGCAGTGACCTCCTCCGCAAAGACAGACCGCTCCGACGTTAAATCACACTTGTTCCCCGCTAACACTACTATCGGGCGTTTCTGCAAGTCTTGCATTTCGTTAAGCCAATACGCGATACGATCAAACGAGTTTTTGTCGGTCAAGGAAAACATAACGACAGCAGCATCAGAGCCTCGGTAATACGTTTTGGTGATTGAACGAAACCGTTCTTGTCCAGCTTAGAGTTATTATAATTATTATTATTAGTATTTAATACTTGTAGTTATATTGAGAAACACAAACCAGTGTCCCACAACTCGATACGTACAACTTCATCCCCAATGGGTATCTCTTTTATCTTGAAATCAACACCAACACTCGCAGTATACATGTTGTCAAATGTCGTCTCTACTAACCGCTGGACACATGCAGTTTTGCCTACACCAGACTCCCCAAGAAGCAAACACTTGACTGGCTTCGCCTTCTTCATTTCTGAAATTTCCAGATGTTCATTTCAAAGCACTAAAAACAGTGTTTTGGCTCCTCTTTACCTTGTTGAGCTTTTGGGACAGCAGTGTTCTCTTAGTCTTTTTTCTTGAGTTAATACCGGGAAATTACTCAAAAATAGAGTCAAGTGTTTGCAAAACCTGGAATTATACATTCTAGTTGAATGTATAATTCTTTTTCCTTTTCTTTTGATTACTTATTAAAGCAGAAAAAGTCCGTTTTGCTATTTTTTGAATGGAATTGTTGTTTAATTGTTATTCTTAATAAACTTATAAATAAATTAACCAATAAAACAACTAGTTATTTATTAATAATTGTATTATTTTATTAATTAATTATTATCTCTAATAAATGACCGATCTACTATATATTTAGAATTAAATTATATTAAATTATATTTTATTATATTATGAAAAATGGTTTTTGTAAATAAAATACTATAATTATAGTAATAATAATAATATTTTTATACAATAATAATTTACAATTATTAATTTTGAGTTAATTGATAGTATTATGATGTTCTTCAATGATTCTGATGAAAATGGTGATAAAGAATAAGCCGTTTTGTATTAATATAAATAGCACTACTTTCCGAATCGAGAACGATGACATCACCCGAATCGAGTCGCACAACTATCATCGACTCTCTCACGTAAAATACCGCTGATTTTCCGTTACGTGTTTTACTAAAGAAACTGCCTGTTGGGATATTAACGACTTCACACGCAAGTCTTTTCCACTCCAAGTGCAACTCGACGTTTAACTTTGATATTGCGTCTTCCTTGATATCGTATTTGTATTCATTTCCTTGAAAGAAACAATAGAAAAATCGTTCTTCTGCGTAGTACACGTGGACTGCTACCGATTTGTCTCCCGTGTAGAGGGACACACACTTTCTTCCACTGATTGAGTTCGATGAGATAGTTGCGAACCACACAGTACTCAGCTGATATATTTTGTCCTCATAAATTGCTGTTGTCACATTCATCCGTTTTGGCACAGACCCTTTTGAAGACACCAACGCCAAATCGTTCATTCGAAGCATCTCTTGGATCCTTTTTGAAGTCTCAAACAAAACATCCGTCTTAGTTTTTGTGGTAGAAAAGTCCCTTTTTGTCATGATAAGAACACTCGAAGTGTCTTCGACGTCGTTCATTATTTTTTCGTTGTATTGTGTGGCAAGTGCATTTGTAAATTGAGTCATATCATCTTGTGTTGTTGTTAAGTATTTTTGGATCTTTTTACACTGCTCCGAACTGGCGGTCAACAACCGCTGAGCTCGTTGGTCCGGTGAAGTCTGGCTTTGGCTCTTCAGTTCGCCAACAACACGCTGAAGGTTTTGAACGATCTCCGTGAGCTTGACTACGCGGCTAGTTAACGCGCCAAGCCGGTCAAAAACCTTATCAAACAGATTTGTCGCCATCAAGATTTTAAAGTTCAGAGTTCTTCTTCATACTTTTTCAGTTCGCTTCGTTACTCATTTGCTCAAATGAATTTTTTCAATTTTATCGTTTCTTTTGTTCTTTGAATGCGTCGGCTATATAAAGTGTTTATCTTTTAACACACAACTAATCGAAAGAATTAATTATTTGGACAACTAAAACTGTATGAAAAACAGCGAATTGATCACGTCGAATAAATATCATAAAACGCACAATTTGGTATTCCATAACGGCCAAATAACTGAAAACAATTACAAAAGGAATGTTCCTCAAATCGTGTGACACTACTTGGAATGGTCATTACAAGTAATGACTTGCAATTTGCAAAGCAAAACTGTTTAATTTCAGATATCCGCCTGGAGAGCTCTATTTTAGAGAGAGATGTGCAACCATCAAAGCAGTTAGCTCCAATCGTAATAACACTGTCTGGTATAACCATCTCCTTTAACTGTTTACAACAACAAAAGCACGATTTGCCAATAGAAACGACACTTGTTGGAATAGAAAAGTTCTCTATAAAGTAGTGTGAAGATCTTTTGGTATTCACACGAGTCGACGGAGTGGGGAGGTTGAACGAAACAAGGTAACACCCACTTTCGTATAACATTTTTTCTTTGAAATAATAAATGTTGTTATTCGAGGCTTTCACTGTGATATTTTTAAGACTACTGCACCCACAAAAACAGTTGTATCCTATCTCATGGACGGACATTGGAATTTCTATATTTGAAAGACATGTGCATCCTTCGAAGCAGAGAAATGGGATACTTGTAATTGTCAATGGCAGAACCACTTGTTGTAGATAAGAAAGCTTTGCAAAGGTATTCGAACCTATACGATATACAGTGGGTGGGATTATAATGGAAGTAATCAATTCGTTATTAAGAAAATTAAGTTCTTTGATGTCATAAACAGAATGAGGAATTACTAAATTTTTAAGAGGAGTTGATGATGTCAAATAAACTCTTTTGTATATTGCATTAGAGTCTGAAAAATGTTCTGAATAAATAACACTGTGCCAATAAACCTTTTTAATTATCGAATTGAAAGACAAATCATTTTCAGAGTAGAAGTGTTGTGTCTCGAGGTGAGGAAATAATTTGACTGTATCATTAGTAAGGGGTATTGGGTTGTAATGGAACTTCGCCATGTTATCCTTGAACTTTTTGCAAACACATTCAACACGTACAAAATCAGTTATTCGCAAAAAGTATTTTGAGACTATCATCATTGAATAGCTATCTAGTGTTTTCATCTCTGTGTCTTCTTTTTTAAGTAGTTTTGTGTTTTCTGATTATTAAGTCTTTCTAGTTATTTTTACTTTATTTAATAGTTTTTAGTTTGACGTCATTAACTGTCAAAAGTAATTATTGTATAATTAATGGTTTTAATATAATTCTAACTCATTATTCTATTTAATTATTATAAAAAATACTATTAATTGTTTCTATAATAAAACTATATTTTTAATTTGCACGAATTATTTTTTTAAATTAATTAAATTAAAAACTATTTTGCAGTTTGAAATTGTTACTATAATAAAACTATATTATACCAATATTTTAACTATACAAATGAGTAAATTTACAACATAAAAACTCGACCAAATTTAGAATTTTTATTTTGACATGAAATTTTTATTTTAGGGTTTTTAAAGATTTTCTTTCAAACAAGTTTTTGCATGCCACGAACCAACATCTGGACACTGACGAGTTTTAAGCCCGAAGATAACCCACACGGGCTTGTCGAGGAGAGTCAATTCTCTGTTGCGTTTCCCAAATTTCGTGAAGCTTACATCAAATCGATATTACCTGCTTTAGTCGCGAAGTTGGAGGAGTTCAAACTCAAAATTGACGTCGATTACTTGCAGGGGTCTTTTGTTATTAAAACCACAAGAAAAACGTTTGACCCCTTCATCATCATTAAGGGCCGTGATATGCTCAAGTTGATTGGGAGAGGCGCTGACCTTGAACTGGCGTCAAAAATTCTTTTGGATGACTACTGGTGTGATATCATCAAAATTGGTAATATGGTCGTCGACAGAAAACGCCTTGTGAAAAGAAGGCAACGACTTGTTGGACCAAACGGCGCGACACAAAAGGCCATCGAGATATTGACGGAATGCCAATTTATCGTACAAGGAAAGACAGTGGCGGTTATAGGGAAGCCAGAAGGGTTAAAGTTGGTCAGAAAGATTGTCGAGGACTGTATGAATAATATCCACCCAGTCTATAACATCAAGTCGTTGATGATTCGCAAAGAACTTGCAAAGAACGACAAAATGAAGTCAGAGAGCTGGGACCGTTACATCCCAAAGTACGTCAAGAAATATAGGCCCGAAAAAACGGAAGAAGAGAAGTTGCGTATCAAGAAAAAAAAGGAGATCAAAAGAAAGATCATCGAGAGGAAGAAAAATTACACTCCATTCCCTCCAGAGAGAGACGACTAACGACTTATTTGATTGTTTCTGTGAATTTGGGTCAAACAAATCAAAACTGTGTCAATGGTACAATTTTCGTTATTCTGTTCAACAAGTTTAACGTCTAAAAACTTGCAGATGTGGTTATATGAACGGTTTATAATACTTAAACGTATTTATCGCTATTTGTAACACACCTTCATCGTTTTTGTTCTTACTTTTTTTATCCCCTTATTTACTCTCTTTCCAGCAAGATTGTTCTCACTTTTTTTTGTATATTCATAAATAAATAAACCATATTATAATAGTAACTCATTTTTTTGAAATCGAACAGTAACCAAAAAAATATACACAATCCAATTATTTGCCAATCTACTCCTTTACTAAATAATTACTAATAAAAACAAGAAAAATTATAGTAATAATAAATTATATTTACTATTAACAATGTATCTCTTTTTTAATAACCACAAACTATAAATTTTCTAGATCATGTCCACTGTAACCTCTCGCGAGCTCTCTCTTCTCATCGACATCCTTCGCAACGTGAAGCGGTTCAAGAATTGGGTTTTGTCGCGACAGAACAGCACACCCTTACTCTCTGAATTACAAGAATGTCTTGGCGGTATGGACATCCACGCGACATGTACCGTCCATGAATTCATGGAAGCTCTCCAGAAAGAAGTTAACAGTGCAGAAGTGACTGATGAAGAAGAAGGATGTCCTCTTAATGGGATATTAGTATCGACGTTCCAATGTCTTCAATGTAACATCGAGTGGACTAAGACGACGTCGCCGCTGTTCATCACCATAATGAAGAACACAGACGTCGATACAAATACCGTCCAAAAGGCCGTCGTCTCATTTCTGGAAGCGCATTTCTCCTCGCGGATGCAGTGTAAAGCGTGCAACAAAGACTTGATGGTAATTAATGAGTACCTCTTCGCACCCAAAATCTTGTGTGTCGAATTGACTCATTTGGACGTCCCTCTCCAACTCGAGGAAAACGTGTTTATCAACGGAAGCGAATACGAGTGCATCGCGACGGTCGCACAGCGAGACCAAACCTTATTTTCAGCGCGAAAAGTCGCCGACAAGTCTTGGAAGTTCTCAGAGGATGTCGGTGGATTGAAAATGACGGACGACATCAAGTACGTCTTCTTTAAAGCAAAAGACTACATTTGAAGAGGATTGATGACGTCTAAAAGAGGGGAGAAGATGTATTATAGTACTAGAAAGGTCAAATAGTTCATTAATAGAACTTTTTTTAGAATTTTAGTGGTTTTGTGTACTATATAATTATAATAAAAATATCATTTAAAACTATAAATCGGACAAAAGGAAAAGATGGCGTGTTGCCACAAGCACAACGAAGTGGAGTACCCGCCGGATACCATCGACGAACCAACGCGAAGCTCTCTACAGTGTTTAAGTGACACTTTTAATTTTGATGCATTAGAAATGGAGATAGCGAAGAATGAAGAGATCGCGTTAGTGTTACTCAAAAACAAATTTGTAGAGAAAGTGGTGGAAAGACTGGGTGAACGGACTTTGCCTTCTGTTGTGTTTGATAAGTTTGTAGAACAAGCTATTAATATGCTCTCGACTATCGCGAAGACGAAATATGGGGTCTATTTGTTACCATCAAATACGTTCTATTGCTTCATCCCATTTGCTTTTGACTCGAATGTTTCAATGGAATGTATATATGCCATTTTGAGTACATTTTGTGAATTGATAATTGACGAAGAAAGTGCACTGATAATAATGAATTACCATATCTTCCCTTTAGTAATGATTTGGCTTGAATTTGGTAATGAAAAGTGTATTGAGATTTGCTTACAAATATTAAACAAACTTTTTAGAGTACAAAAGATTGTCGACTTCGCTTGCTCTTCTCAAGAAAAAATCGACGAATTTATGAAAATTATTCAGCCATTACAAAAGAATTTAAACTACAGAAAAATGGTTAATACTCTTATCTCGTCTCTTTCTAAAAACGATCTCTTTTCTTCTCAGTCTCAAACCTTATGAAGTAAAATAATCAAATCTTAGGAATATTTATTAACACATTACAAGTAATATATTGAAGATTTTTAAAATTTTTTCATAATAGTAAATTGATTTTAATAAAAAAAAATAATTCAAACTTCAAAGTTAAAAAATAGTTACCATTTGAATTATTAATTATTAATTTAAAATTAATAATTAATATATATAATAGTAAATTCAATTAAAAAAAATATAATATAATAATAATATAATAATAATATAATATTACCAAAAATCAAATTATTTGTGTGAAATTTAAATAATAAAAAAGAATAGTAAAAGAGTTAGAATTAAAAAATTATAGGGAAAAGTTGACCTAAAAGAACTGAAAGCCAAACCTTCGAGGCAAATGGCAGAGCACGCACACGGACACGAACACATGAAAGAGATTTCTGAGGCAAACCAGCAACTTTCAGTCTCACTTGCTGCTTTGATCCTTCACCAAATTGGAAAGGACATCACTGCTGAAACTATTACCACCATCCTCCACCACTCTGGTATTAAGGTCGAAGGTTTCTGGCCAGTCGTTATGGCTAAGGCCCTCTCAAAGGCAAACGTTGAAGACCTCATCATGAACACTGCTGCTGCTCCAGTCGCTGCTGCCCCAGCTGCCGCCGGTGCTGCTGCTGAAGAGAAAAAAGAAGAAAACAAGGAAGAGAAAAAAGAAGAGAAAAAAGACGAACCAGAAGAGGACTTCGGAGGTTTCGGTGATCTTTTCTAAAGTAACTCGGTATTGAGGGTTTTTTGATGTTTTGTATTCAAATTATATTCGCAATTAAAGACATTATTATTATAATTATTATAATCGATTATTATCATTAATTATTATAATTAATAATAACTACTTATAAAGGGTTAATTTTTATTAATCATTATAATTAGTATAATACTTGTTATCTTTTATAGAATCTAATAAAGTATTATTCTCAGATTGTTTTGTGAAAAACTGTACCATTAATTTTCTTTTTATTTCTTATAATTTAAACCAATTTACAAATGATGAATTTGAATTATTAATTCTAGGTATGAATTTATTATTTAATAATATTAATCATGTAATTAAGTATAATAATAAAATTTACTATTCTTTTTTAAAAAATGAAATAAGTGAATGAAAAACGACACTTATATAATATACTATACTTTAATCAATCTAATTTTTATTAATTATTAAACTATAAATTTAACAAACTGCAATAGTAGAAATGAGTGTGTTTTACTTCAACCATCGTTCCTTTGGAGATTATTTGCGGTGTGAAATTGCCAAGCCTTCAATCACTTTGTTGGATGTGAAGCAAAAAGTTGTCGATGTTTTTTTACATCGGCAACCCCCCGAAACATACCAACCTTCACAAATCTTGGTCTATCAAGGCTCACTTGAGATAACGAATCTTGCTGAAATTATCCCTCAGGACTCTCGCTTCACTGTATTTACACGCACACAAGAAACTTCTAAGGTCACTCGCGAGGCCGTCGACTTAAAAGATATTTGTGTAGATAACAAGACGATCACCGCGACACCACTGTTCTCCACCAATTCGCGTAAACAGAAACCACAACATTTGCCCCCAGGGTATATCTGTCGAAGATGTGGTAAACCGGGTCATTTCATTCGAGACTGTCCCGAGAACAACAACCCCGTGTATGACCGTAAAGAGACTGCCGGCCTTCCCCGCGAGATGTACGAAGAAGTCAACGACGACGACACCAACGCGATGATCACAAAAGATGGGAAACATGTAGCGCTCAAAATTACAGGCCAACAGTTTCGGCCTGTTGTTCAAGTCGAAGTTGGTGAAGAGGAGAGTGCGAATTCCGTACCGAAGCGGTTGAGATGTCCGAAGTGCTCTGGGCTCTTACGTGGTGCTTCTGTTTTAAAGTGTTGTGGGAAGAGTTTCTGTGAGGACTGTTTAGTTAAAATACGAAGTGAAGAGAGGTGTATCAACTGTGGGAAAGCCATTGATATATCGAAAGATATTATGGAGGATAAGAAGGTGCGACAGGACATCTTAAAGTTCTTTGAAGAAACAAATAGAAAGATAGCACAGAAGGCAATGGAGAAGGCGCATCTGGAACACCCCACTAAGAATGCAAACGAAGAAAAAAGTAAGATAAAAGAAGTCGTCGAGAGTAAACCAGTCATTGAAAAAATGGACATCTCCGGTCTCTTCAAAAAAAAAGACCCAAAATTTTGTCCGTTGTGGAGACTCGCTGCAGTCAAATGTGACGGAGTTAAGTTCACTGGAAAGTTGATTGGAATCGAAGAATATAAACCAGACAGAGTCGCTAAAATACTGGAAGGTGTCAAGAAGAGAGAAAGAAGCAGGTCAAGAGAGAGATCTGATAATAAGTGACTGATTTGTTTTTTGAGATATCTGCGAGGATTTATAGTAATTTTTTATTATATTTAACTATAAAATTTTATTTATAGGATGATGTTAACAAAAAATAAAAGATATTTTTTGAATGATGATAGATAAACTTTATATTACAAGTTTATGGGGCAGACCTTTCCCACCCTCACCCCGTTTACCAAAATAAAATATTTGCCGCGAGTGTTTTTTGAAGGGAAATCCACTTTTCAGCCACTGTTTGTGCGTCCCCATGTCGCCCACTTTCCTTGTCCGTACTGTGTGGACGCGGATGTGGTTCCCCCCGCTTGTGGGGGGGTCAGGGGGGATCCGCGCCAAGGGAGGACTTGGAAAGTGGGTGAAACGGTGCACAAACAGACTGTTTGAGTGCGGCCTCAGAGCCTTCTTTTCAATGCTCCGTCTTACTCGGTTTCCACTAAATCAAGGTGATTTTTCGGCATTTCCTGAATTCGGGAACCAGACCTAATATTATCCAAAACGCCCATTTACTATAATTATAATTAAAAATTATAAAATATAGTAAATTAATTCTATATTTAGACGGGGTGAGGGTGGGAAAATTCTGCCCCTACAAAAAACAGTGTTTTTTGGTAAAGTTATTAATTATAATAATTGAAATTATTGATAGAAGAGTATTTTTATTAAATCTGTATAATAAAATATAATTATAAATAACCACAATGAATAATTATAATAAATACTAATAAATAATACTAATAATTATAATACGAATTGAATCAGTTAATTTCTGACTTTTTTCTAAGAAATTTAGAAAGAAAGAGGTCAGGAAAAAAGGAAAAAAGACCTTTTATTTATTTTTCAATACACCCATGAAGAGTGTCAAGAACAAATTTGCACGTTTGAAACAGAAAAAACCGACTGTGACAGAAGAAGATGAATCGTCTGACGGGTATGAAAACTCCGAAGGGGAGTATGTTGAGAAACCGAAATTTTATCGCTTTGGGGGGTATCACCCGGTTAAAGTAGGTGATGAATACAACGGGTATGTAGTTCAGTCCAAATTAGGGTTTGGTCACTTTTCGACGGTATGGTTAGTCCAAAGGAAAGAGAGTGGGAAAGTAGGAGCGCTGAAGGTAGTTAAAAGCGCGAAGACGTATACGGAGATGGCGATTGATGAGATTAAGTTGATGCAAAAGATTACGGATAGCGACAAAGAGTTAAGACAACCCTTGTTACACATTTTAGATAACTTTAGTATTAACGGCCCGAATGGGACACATATCTGTTTAGTCATGGACGTCGGTGGATCGAACTTATTGGACTTAATTAAATATTATAAGTACCATGGGATACCTCTTCCAAGTGCTAAATATATCTCTAAGCAAGTTCTTCAAGCATTGGACTTCATTCATACCCGGTGTGGAATCATTCACACCGACTTGAAACCTGAAAATGTATTACTCTCATTCACCGTCCCGAAAAATTCGGAGGACCCGTTGCCAGAACATTTCACAACAAAACTCGCAGACTTTGGAAACGCAAATTGGGTCACTAAAAGATTCACAGATGATATCCAAACACTCGAATATAGAGCTCCTGAAGTCATTCTGGGACTCCACTGGGGGTGTCCAGTCGATGTGTGGTCACATGGATGTATGATCTTCGAATTAGTAACGGGAGACTATTTGTTCAAGCCAAAAGGAAGTGAATCCTTCTCTATCGAAGAAGACCATCTGGCTCAGTTCATGGAGCTCCTCGGGTTCTTCCAAAACCGGTACTTGAAGTATGCACCAAACGCTCCAAAATACTTCAAATCTAATTTGGAGCTCAAACACATCCCTAACGCTTCTCTTAAAATGTGGAAGACTAAGGATGTACTGATTGATAAATACAAAATCAATGAAAGCGACGCTGATGTGTTGGCGGACTTATTGGAGAAAATGCTCATTTATGACGAATTTAAGCGAGCAACTGCAAAAGAGTGTCTTCAGCACGAGTGGTTCAGTGATGTGACTATGTCCATGTGATATTGGTGTTTACTATTAAACTACTATTACCTTTAGTTTTGTCATTTCGTCCACTTTTCTAAAGTAAAAAATAGCTTTGATTAATTAAAGTTATTATTACTGATTATTACTAGTTTTTTAATATTAATAACAATATACTAATGAATATACTAATAAATATACTAATAAATATATTAATAAATATATTAATAAATATATTAATAAATATATTAATAAATATATTAATAAATATTAAATACACAACAAAGAAAAAACAATCAAAAATAGATGAATAGATGGAACTTGAGAAGAACACCATTTCAGTGGATTCTATTTCTCTCGAAAAAGAAGAAGAGAACGAAAAGCCAAAACTTATCCAACCACAATATCAAACTGACTCTTTTATTGATGTAAACATTCAGAATATAACAGACGGACAACACGAGATGTCTATCGAAAAGATTCAAAGTGTGCAAGACAACAGTTTCAAAGACAGTGAAGAGAAAGTCGAGGCTCTGAGTATCAGGACTGATATTCAAACGACAATCAAAGACCAATTCACTCATTTAATTGACGCAGACAACAAAAAAATCAAAGAAGAAAAGAAACCCCATAAAGAAGAGAAGAGTCCACTTGCCAAAGAAGACAAGGCTTACAGGGAGATGGTGCGGAAGGCAAAACTTCAAACGCGCAAATTGCTAGTTGGGCGGTGTTCGAGATGTGGGAGTATTGGGCACACTGCCTTGAAGTGTAAGAATGCTCCTCGATTCATCAATGACATTCTCGACGAAATTAAAGAGCAAAATCATCAGAATGTGTGGTATGATCCAAAGTCGTCCTTATCTCGAACTAATCAAAAACTTCGATACGTCGCCTCCAAAAAGTCGACGCGGAATTTTCATCAACAACAACAGCCAGAGAAGAAGCTGTTTTGTAGTATGTGTAAAGAGTTCGGACATACCTCGACTGACTGCTATAACTATTTTTGAATAGTTTTGTTATTATATATATATACTATACTCAAAGTACTATAATATACTATAATATACTATATTCATTCTATTACAAATTCTATTACAAAATAATACGAAAAAATCACTTCTTTGGATCTTTCTTCTTGAAAAGTCCAGTGAATGTGGTCTTCTTTCTTTCGCCTCTTGGAGATGGTGAAGGAGATCTCTCTGTCATAGCTGGGGTGTGAGAGCGTTGTTGTATTAAAGAACTTCCTTCATCTTTTCCTTTAGCTTCTTTAACTTCTTTAGCGCTTTGTTTCTCTTCCTTTTCTTTCTCCTTCTCTCGTTGTTTCTCCTCTTTCTCCTTTTGTTTTTCTTCTTTCAAATTTGCAGAGCTCTTTCTGTTCCACAGACTCTTGTGTTTCTTTGCTATCGACTTCTCTTCCAACGAATTGCGTTTCTTTGGCGTCTCGACTTTTTGTTCGACGGGCTCGATAACAGTGACTTTAATGGGATCTGGTAAGTCGATTTCGGGGACACTGACATTGAACAGTGTTTTTGGTTCAAAGTTTTGGTTCTGCATTTTATTCATCCAGCTTCGAGTAAAGAGGACGTCGACAAACGCTTGTACGTCGCACGTCTTCTCGTGGAATGCGACAATTTTGTCTTTCCGAGCAATAATCGGGTTCAACGGTAAGATGGTCTTTCTCACCAATCTCATGATCATCGCGTGGATCACCAAAGGCAACACCGACAGATGGACCAATTTTTGTGATGGCACATCCGTTGTAATGCTGTCCAAGACATACAAATCGGAAGTTGTAGGAAGAATAGAAATCGTCGTTTCATCATTAGGTTTCTCAGTACCATTCCAGACAACGTGGACAAGAGGGACTAAAGCTTCACGAGGCTTTGTAATCAAAGGTGTCGAGAAGACCATTTCGACGGTGTCATCTTCGTATTTCATGATTTTGGATACGTCCGTTATAATGACATCTCCCAGTCGATTGACAAACGAAACAAATTCTTTAGTAGCACCCGTTTCACATGTGATGTCGACCAACACTTTATTCTTTGTAGACATGTTATCTAACTCATGCAATACACTATATATAGCGTTTGTTGGTTGTGTAGTTTTAAATGGGTTTGTGATGTGTGTGATGTCCAACATACGTAATAACAGACGAGTCATCCCACTCTTACTTAGTGTTCGATTCTTCCTTAAGAATTCTTGTGTGATGACAAGTGGCGCTTTCAGTCGTGCATCACTGTTCTCTATCGTTTTGACGTCTTCTTCCGCACTTGTCACTAAGTCTGCTACATTCACTGGAGTTTCTAATTTCCAGTCTGTTTCCCTGTAATGTTATTGTATTAATTAGTAAATAATATAATTTATTAGTATCATTAATTATAATAATTATTAATTATAATACCATCAAAAGTAATAAGAAGAGTAACAAACGTAATGGCCAAAGGTGTTTGCTCGGAGAGTACTGGTGCTGTCTCTGACAAGAAAAGTCCCCAATCTTCATTATCTGCGTCTGGGACATATCTAAAGAAGAAGCATTTCTTGCCATATTGTGTTCGAGAAATGCAGATCACGCCATTTGTGTGTTTGTTGTTTGCCCAAGGAATTTCAATGAATGTCAGAATTTGGCAATTTTGTGAGTAAATGTGGATGTAGTCTTCAAAGGAGTCATTTCCATTCAACACAAACGACTTTCTGATTTGCACTTCGTCGATTGCTGTTTGCAGAGTCATAATAGGCAAGACGTAGTCATCAAAACAGTTTGCGAGTCTTGCGTCGAAGAACGTTTCTATTTGTGGGAGTCTTTCCAGCGTGATATTTCTCGCCAAGACTGCCAAAGTTTGATTACATTTCGTGAAGACGGTCGGTTCGATAATTTCAAAGCAGCAGGTATAGATCTTTACAAAGGTATTGACAAGTGCCCCATAGTTATAACATGGCGCGTCTTGTTTCTTATTATCAATAAACGTGAGTAAGAAATTGAAGAGGGGGTATAACGCATTCGGTGGGTTTTCACAGAATGAGGAATACTCAATAAGGGTTTCGAGGAAGTTAATGAGGTCGTTACACTCTGTAGTCAGTAAAAGAGTCAATTGACTATTCGTTTGAGTAAAGCATTTGATGACCTTCGCGATCATTTCTGTGACATTCCCCGTCTCAACAGCGTCCATTACAAATCGTGAGAAGACTCCAATCAGTAACTTCAAGATGTCCGACTTACTTTCATTCTCAAACGCTTGCAAAGCATCGTCAACTAACTTCTGTTTCACATCGGCAAAGGTTATTACGTCATTGTTCCCACCAAGGTGTGGGATCTCGTACTTCAACCGCTCTCTGCCAATCGACAGTTGGACCTCTTCTATAAGTTTAATAGCACACTCTTTGAAGTTCGGTTGTGACTTACTCACACATTGATTAATAGCAACGTTCAGTGCTGGATATAACAACGCAAATGTCGGTGTCTTTTCATTGAAAAATCCGGCAGTGAGTTGAACAGCTGCTTCGACCACATTCATGTTAGCACTCAATAAGGCACATTGGAAGATTTTGAGTAACTTGACGTTGTGTTTAGTTTCAAATATAGTTGTTTCGAGTAACTTGCGAACGATTTGAGTCGTCGATTTGACTATGACGATGATCCCTTCACTGTATTTGTTATGGTCCAAGAAGTGTATTGGTTGATACAAAGCGTCGATGAAGATATTCAATATATCATTTCCATTCGGCAACGGTTGTTTACTCTGGAAATTAATGATGTCAAGAATTAACTCGTTAATGCCTTGTTGGACGACACAAAAGACCTTATTGTCTTGAATCAATGTCAAGTTTCCTACTAAATGCAACACACGTAACCAAAATCGGAACGCATACGTCTTCTTAAAAGTGGTTTGCACAGTGGTCTTATTGAATGTCACAAACACTTCGACAGTGTCTCCACCAACTTCGGAATATAACCACTTGAACAACGCCGTTTGAATGAGCATCACATAACGTGCCCAATTCGTCGCAACTTCATTGATTCGGACCCAAATGGAGTGTCTCCTCATGAAGAAGTTCCAGATGTTCGCCTCAGTCGTCCCAAGACGGGTGAACTGTTGATATAAGATGACTATGCCAACATCAACCACTTTCGACATCGGAAGTTGGGTACACAAGTTGTCATCAGGTCCACAGACATCATCTATAGACCCCATTAAAACAACTACAAGGCGACGAAGAGTCTCGGGGTCGCTCACTCTTTCACTCACTTTGCGCAATGCGACTAACCCTCTTAAACACAACTCGGCGTATTTAATAAGGGTTTGTGGGGAACACGGGTCAACTCTTCGAGTGTATAACATACTCATTTGGCCTAAGAATATCTCAGTGTAGTGTTTGGTGTTAGCTTTAATTGGTTGTGGGGTGTCCATCTCTTCACTAAACCAATTCTCGTAGATTCCTAAGCACGTTGAAATCGTTTCTATTTCGCTGTATGGGAAGGATAACCCTTTGCCAATAACTTCCATCACCCTATATATCAATTATACCATTCAAAGAGTCTAAAAGAACAAACCACTTACAATGGTCGTCTGTGGGAAGTTGTGCACTTGCCTCTACTATCCGTGTAGAGATGTTATTGACTACAAGTCTTACAACATCGTACTCTACTGTCGATTGCAAAAACGCAGTCACATTCGTGTTGGCTGGTTGGGTCAGCAGTTCAGTCGTTTTGACTGTCGGAGAAAGCATCAAGAAGATTAATCAGTTCCTCGTCTTTTTCTATTAATAGTGTTGTGTATTAGAGTTTTTCATATCTCCTTCATTCGTTACTTTTATTTTTAAATCTCTTATTGAATAGTTAAAATTCTAATTGTTTTATTATAACTTTTAATTTGATTTGTTTTTGAACACGAAATGTTTTATAAATTAATTATAATTATTATAAATTATAATTAAATAATGTAATTATTTAATTATAATTTATAATAATTATACTTATATTATCAATTATAAAACAAATCAATTAAATATACTATATATAAAATTTTATTTAACTATATAATATGGTTTAGTGTAAAAATGATCTTTGATTATTTTCACCAAAAAAAATGAAATAACATTTTAAAAAACAAAAAATATTAAAGCTTATCACATTCAAATGATTTAAAGATAAAGTAATTAAGAACTAGAAAAAGAAGAAGAATGATCTCTATCATGTATACATTGACTTACGGAATTAGTCTTGTACTCATTACAACATTGACTTTGCTCATCATCCCAATTCCAAAAGTTGTGAAGAAACAGATCCTTAAATTAACGAAGGCAGTTGTTAAGACTAAAATCATCTCAATCACCGTGTTAGTCTTGGTCACTCTGTTGTATGCCGAGTCTTTTTACAGAATGAAAAGATATGAGGCGATTAAAGATGAGATGCCCGTCGACACCCAAATTAACACTAGAATTGCAAATTACACGGAGTTTGCTTTTTGTTACGTTCAAGAGAGTAATTTAGTTGTGATATAACGATTGACATATAGACTTTTCAGGAGCCAAAGGAACGCATATATCAACTTCTTTAATCTCCTCTTAGTCATCATCTTGTGGAGAGTCGGTTCGTTGGTGAATAAATTAATTAATTAACACTTTTTAATTCTCATTTGATTTTCAAGAGGAATCGAAGAACTTTTTTAGTTGAATTTGAATAAAGGACTTGTGAGGGTTTCCTTTTTCTCCATTTTTTGTGTGGAAATGAAATAAAATCAATCGAATTTTTTGATGAGTGAGGCACAACACAAAAATATCACTGAAGACGCGCAACTTGGCCAAAAAGATCCTTCAAAGAAACAACCGACTCAACAAAAGCAACAACAAAAGGGACAAAAGACGCAAAAGTCCCAGAAAAGTACGCCCATCATGAAAAAAGACGACGAAAACAAAGAAGTCCAAAAAGAAGAAAAAGTCGAGGGGGAACACCAACTAACTAATAAAGAACTCAAAGCACTCAAAAAACAACAAAAACACGACAAAAAAGCTGCACGCGTCGCAGCGGGAATTCCACCAATTCCACAGCCCCCATCGAAAAAGGAAAAGAAAGAACAACAACAGGGAGAGAAGGAAAAACACGACGAGAAACAGAACAAAACCCCGCAGAAAAAGAAGAGCGAAAAGGAAGTTAAGCCTCAAAGTAGTCAAGGCTCTGTGTGCTTTGACCCAATTAGGTTAATGGTTGGCGACGTGAAGAGAATGCCGGTCATCCCTCTTAACAGTAATGCCGTTCACTTTTCTTTCTTACAATTTGCGTTGGAGTGCAGTGAATATAAGTGCATTGGAAGTACAGTCAGAGCACTTCGATTCATCGACTGCATCATCCAAATGCTCCAATCGACACCATTCACACAAAGCATTCAATGTGTCCCAATGGTCGAAGATGCGATGAAACTCCTTGAAAACGCACGAAGTGTCACTGTCGGGATGAATAACGTGAAGAATTTCATCTTCATGAAAAACCTCGAGATTGGCGAGGCGTTGCAAACGGCGCAGACGATCTCGATGAGCATCATTGGGAGTCAAAAGGAGATCATTTCAAAAGGTTTGGTTTGAGTGTTTTGAGGAATTAAAATGTTTTGAAGGAAAAAAGACTGAGAGATAGTGGTGGACACGTACAAATATATCAACCAACACGCCGTCATCCTTACACTTAACTATTCAACACTCTTATTAAACATTTTTAAAAACCAATACGCAAAAGGAACGGATTTTAAAGTCATTGTAGTCGAGACATCACCGCTGAAAGAAGGAGCTTACTTCGCGCGAGCTCTTACAGACATTGGAATAGATACTACTTACATTCTACCAGGTGGACTTCAAATAGTATTGGGGACGGTTACTCGAGTACTTTCTTCAGCTTCAGCTATGGACGGAAGAGGGTCTGTATACACGAGAGCGGGCTCTGCATCAGTTATTTATGCTGCACAGAAGATGCACATACCAGTTATAGTGTGTTGTGAGACATATAAGATGACGGATGGGATACTCAAGAACGAAAAAGAAATGTGCAGAATGTGTAAGAATGCGACAATGTACGACGAAGTCCCTCAGGAGATGATCACTGTAGTCATCACCGAGTTTGGAAGAGTCCCGCCTTCCTCTATTCCTGCTATTGTGAGAGAACAACGTTGGGACTCGAAAGTGCTTTCACAAGAAAAATACTAATCAATTGGACACGTGTTTATCTATTTTTAGACGTCTTCTTGGAGAGAATTGTAGTACATTTTTAATACAGAAATCCCCCAAATTTTACAATAAAAAGTCACTAATTTAAGAAGTAAACTTTCAATAAATTCAAATAAATACAAATAAATTCAATGCGACGGAAAACTGTTTTGAAAGAACAAGAAACAAAGAACTCAAAAATCTAGTATTTCTCATGTCGTTCATACAATGCAGTCTGGACAGGATCCCGAAAACAGAGTCGATCCGCAAACAGAGCGGCATCCCTTTTTACATAGTCTACACCCCACAATACGCTCCGGTCCAAAAAATTCCGACAGAGAAATTGGCAAGGTGCTCGAAATGTCGGGGGTATATGAATAAATACAACACACTTATTGCACCTAACAAGTGGCAGTGTTGTTTATGTGACACTATTAACACAGAGAAATCGATATATTATGACTTGAGCGAGGGAACACAAAAGTACCCCGAACTATCAGTAGAGTCTTTTGAAATAGTCACTGATACAAATTTCACGAGAAGACCGATGCAAGATGTCTGTGTTGTTTTTGCAGTTGATTCGATACTCTGGGAGTCAACAAAGACCATCATCAAAGACGCTGTTATTAGTTTGCTTTTTTACTATAGTTTAATAATTACTTTATTATAATTTAACTATTCTAATAATTGATTTGTTTACATATCAATCAATATGAAAAGACCATTTTATAACACAGAGAGTTGAGTGAGAAGACCAAAGTTGGTATATTGGTGTATGGCAGCAATGTTTCTCTGATTAAAGTAGTACGTGGGAAGTATAGTGTTGATGTTTTTGTTGAAGAACCCGATGACATTATATGTAATGTAGAGACATATCTCACTAAAGCGTGTGATCTTACTAAAGTGCTTGACTTGTTTGATACCATCAGCTTTCCTGCAAGTGTGAATCAAAGTGTTTTTGGGCTTGCGATGAAGACGGTCAATTGCCTTCTAGTTTGTTCTTGGTAAGTTGTTTGAATGATCTTTTAAAGGGAAGCAATGATGTAACAGTGTAGGGAAGTCGTGGAGGGAAAGTCATATGTATCCATGGGAGTCAACCAACAGGACAAGGGTCTTTACAATTAGACTCTGAGACTCTTGATTCGACACATTCAGAGTATTACACTGACTTATCTGTGTTAATGAACAATAACATGATCACAATCGACTTGTTTTTGAGTCTTCATACCTCGTACGATACTGCTACGTTATGCGACTTTGTTCGACGGACTGGTGGGAGGACACACGTCATCTCGAATTTTGGGGTCTTACGTCACACGATGACGAGAGATATAGTACAGAGTGTATGTCGCGAGGCGGTGTTCCGAGTGAGGACGACAGAGAACATGACGACGGTCACTCGATATGGAAATTTCAATATGAGGAATAACGACTTACTAGCAGTTCCATGTGTCGAGCCGAGTTCGTGTCTTGTTGTAGAGTACGAAATTTTGAGCGACTTCTCGTGCACCAAGTTTTATATACAAACTGTCTTTCTGTATACTAATGAGAACAAAGAGAGAGTGTTGCGTATTCAAACGACTTGGTTGCCATATGGTAACGCTCCCGAGATCAATTGCACTGCGTTGACGATCGCGTGCAGTAATGTTTGTGTGGAAATTGCGAAGAAAAAAGGGATCCTCGAAGCTAAAAAGTACTTAGAGCAAATTGCGCGAAACGTCCCGAAGTACTGCAAAGACAGAGACCAAGTGCGTTATAATCTGTTTTGCCTCTTAAAGTCGCCTATATTGAAAATGGAGAAGAATTACATCACCGCGGCGCATCTGCGGGAAATGCGCGGGAATTCACAATTTCCGATTCCGGTGTTATACACTCTCGATAGCTTCGGCGGAGTGAAAATAGTGTCTTTGAGTCAGAGCGAAGTGACGGGGAAACTTTGTATATTTGTCTTTGGCGATTATGTCACGATTTGTGTCGACAAAACAGTCGAGAAGAAAGTTCTTAAGAAAGTCTTTGGAGTAACAACTATTACGGAAATAGCAGAAAACTTCCATATTACTGAAGACAAGAATGAGGTGGCAGAAAGTCTATTACAAATACTTAAGAGTATGGGGGAAAGATGCGTGACGGTCGATTGCTCGGAGAAATGGAAGGAATGGCTTGTTGTAGATCCGAAACCGGATAACACATGGGATTACCAAAGCTTTATATTAAGTTTGGGTGCCGATTAATTCACTCGTGTAACAGTTTTAATTCGTTTATTTAGTCACTATGTTCAATAATTAAAAGATGTAATGAAAGTATACTAGAGGTTCGCGGTTTTTCAACTGTTTTTCAACTGAATATTTTAACCCGTTTAATAGGTAAAATACTTACTGTTAGAAACAAGAAGAAAATTATTTTTTTTACAAAAAATAAAAAACTTCGATTTATTTATATTTTATATTTCATATAAAAAAAATAAAAGTTATTACAATAAATATGTATTTGCTACTTTATTTTGATTGACAAGAAAAAGTCAACGTGTGCACCTAAAAACTAAAATGCATTTCAAACAAAACATACAATAAAACATAATTTTTATTAAAAAAATTAGAAACGTATTTTAAATTTATTTTTTATTCAAATGTTAATTGTTTCAAATTAAAAGCAATATTATTCATTAATTCACACGCCATTGTTCATGAAATTTAAAAATAATTGTTGTGTTTGAGTAAATGAAACATATAATTATTCAAAAAATAAATTTAGTAAACACAATACAGTGCTTATTGGTTTCAAATCGATAATATTTTTTAATAAATCGATTATGTTTTTATATTTTCGACAGTATTTTTTATGGTTTATATTGTATTTAATGAATTATATTACTTTTAATGAAATAGACTGTGTTTTTTATAAAATATATTACTTTTAATGAAAGTGG